AACGCAGTAGATCTGGTTCCAGTATGTTAACTATCTTATACATATGATGTGATGAACGCTCTGTATAAAGGCTGGTTTCTGCGTGGGAGATACTGTATATCGAGGTGGGAACGTGGTGTCGCGAATTTGGTGTTGTGTGCCGAGCGGGAACTAACGTCGGCAGGTGGATGTCGATTCTATAGATACTGTGCTGTGTGAATACTATAAATGGGCTCTTCTATTATATTTTATGTAAGTTTATCAAATAAAATTTGAAATAGAGTATCGCCTAAGTAGGAGAATCTCGTACCCTACAAATTCATGCTTGCTGAGAGACATGCACATTGATGTCCCTCTAGTGACGTGATAGTAGAACTATGAAGGTGGATTCCAAGCGTCTCCAACTCGCCGACGTCCATCTCCGGCACGCATATACATAATTTAAGCTCGCTCATCCGCATAAATACCGTAAATTGCAACTTATATTTCCTTTTCCATCCGCTAGGAAAATAAGCGCGTTCAAGTCGGCACTCATAAAAAGCGCCACTCTTGCTATTCTTGTAGTTTCTGTCAAGCTGTATTTTTCGTCTTCTTTTTAGGCTGCCAGCGATTAGGCATTGACTATAATACCTTTGCATGTCGTCGTCAAGTTCCGCTCGTTTATACTCCAAAATAGTAGCTTTTCGCAAGCTAATAAAACGTAGCGGGAGATACGCATCACCCCAGAGCCTTTGATATCTCTCTAACTCCGTAGCTAGCCATGCAACGTCCACTATTGGCCTCCTGTGCCCTCTTATTTTAAGAAATTGTCGAAACGGGTCGAAGCAGACCACGACCTTGTCTCGTGGGTCAGAAAGAGTATCATACAAAGTGAAGGGTTGGCCAGCAAGGAGAGTTAAGATGTACAGTGCGCCATCTATGAGCGTGGGCTCCCCTGATATAGCTGGGAGCTGGTCCTCATGACTGTCATAGTGGTAGCTTGAGATAGGGAAATCGTTTGATGGTGGAAGTTGCATGGAAGCTGCACAGGAATAGATAAGTGTATACTAGTACGTATGTACAGGCATATAACTAGCGAATGTAAGAGTGAAAAATTATAAGTCAACTACAAAACATGATAGGAGAGCCGTACTCCTTTAAATAGCTATGTCGCGCCCGAATTCTCCTTCCACGTTCTATAACATGTCAAGGTTGTTTCCCAAACCCTAGTCACATGAATGAGCTAGGCTATATATGGATAGTAACTCAATATACTGGAAGCTTACTCGTACGTTTATGGCCGCAGTAACCAAATAACTAACGTGATTCACCACTAAATGCACACCACCACTAAATGCACACCCAATCTCAACCCCCAACCCGTTCAATCGAGCTTATAAATATCAACCTATTTCAACGCAACGTAAATAACAAATTAAATTAGCTATTAAATAACGATAGTAGGGTTCTAGTTTATATATAAATTAGATAGATTAAGAAAAAAAACGAGTATTAGGCTTAATAACTCGCCTGGAACGGGTTCCCTAGGGTTAGGATAGGAAATTAGGTATTAAAGCAACAGGATCGATTAGAGCCACCTTTATAGGTGATTTTTTCTTCTTGCCTAATTAGGAAGGTGAGATAGGGCTTAAGGCGTTGTTTTAAGCCTTCCTAGCCTTCTTAGCTATTCACTCATGTTACAAGCGCTAGCCCTCCTTGATCCCAAAAGGTAATCAGAGGTTCAGGCTGGTCGTAGGATAGAAGGACTGATCCTAAAAGCCTTGCTGATGGGTGATGCTATTATAGGAGACAGATCAGTACTAGGGTCGAGATAGAATACTATAGTAAGACTATCTCTTAGTTCTAAGTATGGCTTTAGTCAGTGCCTTAGTTAGATAAAGGCTAAAGGTCCTTATAAGTAATAAAGACAAAGTTAACCTACATTAATTGTCACAAGCTGACGGCGCTCCTTGATTACCTAAAGGTGATCAGAGGTTCACACCTGCCGTAAGACAGAAGGTACGAAGGTCTTAGGGAAAGCTTGGGTTGGAAGTGAGTCGTTGTAGGAGACGGCTCGGTACCGGGGCGAGATAGAATACTATAGCGAGACTATCCCTCAGTTCCAAGTGTGGCTTCAGTCAGTGCCTGGGTCGGATGAAGGCTGAAGGTCCTTGTGAGCAGTGAAGACAAAGTTGACCTGCGTCAATGGGCAAAGGGGTATTCGGTGAATATAGTATAAGACAACTGGAATGGTGCTTTGTATTGAGCAGTATGGTAAAACTGTAGCTGGTTTGATCGCGAGTATAAGACTCTTGATCCTGAGGTAATGAGCGTCCTTATATACATGGTATATATCTAGTGATAGGTACGATAGTTCTCCGCCAAGGGGTTCCTATCACTCCTATCGGTTGTTGTGATAGTATCGATAGGAAGCTGCCAAGCCCGTCCTATCGGTCCTATCGCTGTTGGTCACGTGACTAGTGCCCTCAAGGTCTGGCCCGTGATCCTCCCGTCCAATGAGTGTATATCCTGGGGCTGCGCCGCAGGTGGTCTGTAACATTAATAGGTAAAGGGTATTTAATAAATATAGTATAAGACAAATAGAATAGTACTTTATATTAAGTAGTATAATAAAACTATAGCTAGTTTAATCGCGAGTATAAGACTCTTAATCCTATAGAAGTGAGTATCTTTATATATAAGTCCTTATATATCCTGTTTTCCTAAGTTACTTAGTCACGCTATCGACTCTATTAACTTAGTGACTTATACTAGCTCTCCCTACTCTCTTAGTTGCTCTAGTGAGTTGGGCGACTAGGCGAGTAGGACGTGGTTGTTCCATTCCGTCTTGTCCGTCCAATGAGCGTATACCCTGGGGCTGCGCCGCAGGTGGTCTGTAATAACTCAGCTTCCAATTCACCAACTTTACACTTCCGTTCAAGCGCAGCCTCTGCGCGCCGCACTATAGCCTCCTCACAGGCCTTCTTAAGAGCCTCCTTACGTTACTATTAATCTACAAGCCTTTAAGCCTTCTTCTTTATAGCCTCTTAGGCCTTAGTATCGCGGTAAATTAATTACTAGAGCCTTATATCCTCTACCTAAGTAATCTTCTCTTATTTTTTAACCTCTATCTTAATCGCTCAATCTCTTACTTATTATACTTTAAAAGGTAAGAAGAACTAGGCCTAACTAGCGCGTTCCTTATTAAATAAACCTCTACCTTTACCTCTCTTTCTTTATTTCCTTTTAAGCTTTAGGGCGTTAGTAAGAGATTAATTTTTATATAATAAGAGCTCTCTTATAAATATAAGCTTCTAGCTAGCGCGGATAATTTATAATATCTATATAATATTTTTAAGTAATTAGTAAAGGTATATCTTCTTTATAGTATAGCGGAGGCCTTTAGCTATAAAAGGTATAGGAGGAGTTATATCTAGAGGAGTAATTAGCTAGTTATTAGTAAATATCTTTAGCTACCTATAAGTAAAAGGATATATACCTATTACTATAAATCTAGACTTAATATTATCCTCTATAAGAGCTTTATACCATATTCTATAAAAGAGCTTCTAAAAGTCCTATTTCTTTATTAAAGTATATTTATAGCTAGCACGGAGTAGGCTATTAATCTTCTATATATATACCTTAGAAAGTAGATTAAATATTCTAATATCTAATAGCTAAAGCTAATAAGTTAAATAAGGAGGTAGGATTATAAGTAGAATATAGTTTTAATTAGCATAGTTAACAAATTTTATATTAATATAAGATAAGTAGCTATCTAGAATAAGAAGTCTTCTTCCTCTACTAGTCTTAGTGTACCTATTAAATATCTTTTTTAGCTAAACTAAACTAAAGTTATTATTACTCTAGCTATTTAGTAACGTTGCGAAGTATATAGTTTCTTCTTTAGGGTTAAATTTATTAAGCTAGGTATCTTATAGATCTCCTTCTCCCTTATAAATAAGTACTAGAGGGATCCTTTTACTATCTATAGATATTATAGTAAGTAGAGAGATAAATTCGCAAGATCTATCTTAAATAGTACCTATCCTTTAATTTTTTAAAGTCTAAAGAGGGATAATATATTTAATAGTATGCCTAAGCCTAATAAGGAAGCCTTTCTTATTAAAGTTATAGATATTATCTAGGGTAATATTATATTTCTTAATTATATCCCTAAGCTATTAAAATATAGAAAAAAGTTAGCCTATAAGTATTTAGTAGTAAACTAGCTATTAAATAATACTTATAGCCTTATAAAAATATTTAAAGTATATAGAATTATTAGTAATATACCTTATTTAGTTAATACTATAAAGATAGAGATATTTTATTTAATCCTTATACCTTTTATAAAACTACGCTATCTAATTTACCCTAATAGGCTATTTAGTAAGCTTATATATAAGATTTTAAATAATTTAAGGCGTAAGAGATAGGCCTCTTACTATTAATTAATTAATATACTATAGAAGGACTTCCTCTTATTTATCTAGAAGTTTTTTTTAATATCTTAATACTACTTTAGGATAAGATATTATTTAACCTTTATAATAGCGTGTAAGGATTATTTAATTAATTTTCTACTTCTTTATAGTTTATAGGTAATTAGGAGCCTTTTATAACTTTAAATCTTTAATTATAGTAGCAATTGCTGCCTCATTGGGCATTTTGTTGCTGTTTGGAGGTAGTGGTTGGTGGCGGAAGAGATTTAAAAAGAGGTGTGCATTTAGTGGTGGTGTGCATTTAGTGGTGAACCACGTTAAGGGATTAGTAGACCTTGGCATTAGGGTTTGGGAAATATCCTAGATATGTATGACATGGAAGGAGATTTCGGGCGCGACTGTATTGGAATAGAATGTAACACGTGTTTCTGTGTTGAATTATCACTTCTTTTGACTCCTATATTAGTAAGAACCGAGTGTGGAATTATTCAGCTGCGTAAAAGTTCGCTGTCCTGGGAATGGCTTGACAGCTTGAATCTTCAAACAATGTTGTTCCATGCTACAAAACCAGTGCGGGAAAAAAGCAACGGGGAATCATGGAAATCCGAAGAGCTGTATAAGATCAGGTGGAAGGGCTCTTCTCGCTTCACCAATCTGCTCCGTAATGAGTAGGGGCCCCTGGCCGTCCCAGCTGGCTTCGCATTGCTTAGACTCAGAGTCCCGAACCACATCCACGATCCTGCTAACAAGGGCGTGAAAACGTGCTAGGATGGCGGAATTATCATTTTCCCACCGGATGACATCTTGTCTGACATCTTTAACCTCTGGATGATCGAAGAGACCAGACGTGTGGTAGGCGATTAGAAATTTGGGTGTTTGGTTAAGCCAAAGTCGCGGAAGGATCTCATTCATGTCGAATGACTTGTAGCTTGCACGGGTTTTTATATCAAAAATCTGCTGCTGGGGTATCAACGTGCCTTTGATTTTTAATTTCAGCTTCTGGTCACGAGCAAGTTCACCGCTGGCCACAAACATAGATTCAAGCGCTTCAGCGACTGATGACTCGTTTGCAGGTTCCGAGGGTCTCGATGGTGCATCTGTACCGGACAATTTGACATAGCCGTCTGTTTCAGTCCGGACGAGGAACTTCAGGCCACCAAAGTCGTACCTAACGATGCGTTGGTGAGAGCATGAGTTTCGAACTTCCATATCCCACGTTGTATACGCATCGGGAAACGTATGGCCATAGCCTTGTAAATCCGCGATGACCTCAGTAGGGGAGCTTTCTCGGCGGACGAAGAGTACAGTGTCTCCAATAACGTCCACATCAAACCGAAATGGCCTGGACTCTGATCTTGCAAACCTCATGAGGTTCCCAAACGTGCTACCACACCCGACAATATCTGTCGACTGTAGGTCGTATTCCGGTTTCAAAGCTCGTAGTGAGCGGAATATAGGCTCCATAGGATATAACGCGTATCGAGCTGCATTGATATCTCGAAATACTTCTTCACTGTCGGGCTTTAGCTTTGGATCTGCTGCTGGGGGTGTCCATGCTGGTGGAGAGCCTGTTTAATTATGTGTTAGAGAAAATTGCCCAAATTCGATTTTACTGAGGGTGGTACTGAGATTGGGTTTCTGACAGACCTGGAACCAAGATCGTGGGAGACTTGCCATCCAGCCAGTTATAAGATGCGATATACTCGAAGTCTTTGATTTTGGGAGCAACCTCCTCGATCAATAGTGTCTTGATGTTGATGCTATCAATCGCGGGACCAAGGGGTTTTGGTGGAGCCGAAGCCTCCACCCCTTTAGCGCCGCCGCGCCATGACGAGCCTCTTCCTCTTCCTCGCCCTCTAAAAAAGCTACCATGAAAAGACATTGTCTGGAACACTGGTTTTGAATAATAAGATGAGATTAATCCGAGGACTTGGAGGCGTGTTAGAGAGGTAGAGCAATTTTCAAGATTATGACTACGGCTGAGGATGACCAGTAGGAGCATCCGCACGAAATCTTCTACGACCCCGCCTCAACAGCATTGCGTCACCGGAACCCCCAGACAAAGCACGCAGTCTGGAATCAAATTGCTGTTCTGTTGCCATCCTGCAATATGACTTGAATATTGTTCTAAAGTCTGGAGCTTGAATGTTTCTTTACGGTCAATTCAGACGCCACGCTGTTGTTCCTAGCTGATGAACATGGCTTCCTCGGATCCAGATAATGATCGAACCGCGAGGCTCTCGGCATTTTTAAACAAAGTCGTCCATGGCCAGAGAATGCTATCTACCGCGCGTGACGGCAAGCTCTTTATCGAGGCTTTGTGTGCTCAGGCCGACCCAGCAGCTTGTGCCCACAAGCTCCTTTCCAGTCATTCAGGGCTCCCCGCCCTCCAAGAATCAGTGCGATTTGATACTTCGCCCTCATTTCTCAACGAAAATGCGGTGACATTGCTTCAGTACCTTCAATCACCGTCCCTGAAAATGATCGATTCCGGGTCGGTTCTTAACCAGTTGCTACTTAGCATGGTAGAGCCGCCATTCTTCTGGGATGCTTGCATAAAATCGTTTGTGGGTGGTTTACTTAACCCAGGTGCTTGCCACGCTTTCGCATGGCTACTGCTACAGCTCACTTGCTTGCCTGGCAAGAAATCATCACCCTACGTTGCAGTAGCCAATTCGCAAAATATCCTAGACTCGATCCTAACATCACCGAACGGAGAAACTCGCATAATAGGACAGAAGATCAAACATGCCTTACCACTGGATGCATCGGAACTTCACGACGCCGAAGGTTCTTCACCTGGTGGCAGGCATGACAACGATCATGCAAATCATAGGGAGATTTTAATCATGCCTACTGCAGATGAGCTTTTGTCAAAGGACCGTCCTTTTTTCCGCACCACCGACTTTATCGACGACCCGGAGCTTGTCTCTTCTCGCCGCGACATGCATATAGATAACCAGTTCCGGCTTCTTCGCGAGGATATGCTCTGTGAAATACGGGGTGAGCTAGAGATACTCACAGGGGTAAAGCGTGGCCACCACAAAGGCATCGTTGTGGACGGTCTTTCTCTTGCAGGAGTGGAGATGGGTACTGAGCGCAAGCGCTTACCGTGGTGTGTCGTGCTTAAATGCAATGGCGAGCTCCCACAATTGAAGAATCTTACTAAAGGGAAGAAGAAAGACTTTCTGAAAGACAACCGGCACATTTTACGGCACGGAAACATGGCGTGTCTGATGATTGACAACGAGCCAGCAGCGTTTCCGACCATCCACCGGGATGAAGACGGGCTCGCTGATAACCCTGCCACAATCACTATACAATTCCCCGATGATCCGAGGCTCTCGTATGCCCTGTCTAAGATGAAGACGGCTGAAAGCGTTAGACTAGTTCAGCTCGATGCGGCGATATTTGCATTTGAGCCATTCTTGCGACGCTTGCAAGAGATGGTTGAGCTACCACTAGCAGAGGAGCTACTCTACTGGAAGGAGGATAAAGCCATCGCAGGCCCATCTTTTCAGCCAACAAAAGTAATCACTGCCCTTGAAAAGCTCTCCGGCAAGAGCGTGCAAGATCTCTTAGGCCTTAAGAAAAAGGTTGTTCTGGACAATTCACAAATGGTATCTCTTTGTACTAGCTTACTTCAACGCGTTAGTCTTGTTCAAGGCCCACCCGGTGAGTGTCAGATTGCTGTTCATTTCAAGGACATTTCTAACGTAACTCAGGAACTGGAAAGTCTTTTGTCGGTGCCTTGATAGCCAAGGCCCTGCACGACTCAACGTCGCAGAAAATTCTGGTAGTTTGTTTTACCAATCATGCCCTAGATCAATTCCTTGAGGACTTGATGGATATTGGGATTCCACAATCGTCTATGGTTCGTCTAGGGGGGAAATCGACTGACCGGACAAAGCCCTTGATGATTCGAGAAATGGCTAGCGTAAAGCTCGGCCGAACGCAGTGGGCTCAGATCGATAAATTGAAACAAAGCCTATGTCATGGCGAGGAAAGACTGAAGGATGTTTTCAACCGCTACCGGACTGCCAATATTCAGAAAAAACATCTCATGGAGTTTCTTGAGTTTTTATCTGATGACCTTCCATTCTATGACGCTTTTACGGTTCCAAAAACTGAGAACGACGGCATGATTCGAGTTGGCAGAGCTGGAAAAACCATGGGCCCATTCTACCTTCTCGATCGGTGGATCAGGGGTGAAAGTAATTGTGGATCTCTCCAACATTTACTGTCGAAACGCGCCGCTGCGGTTTGGGAAATGCCACCTGCGTTAAGAGTATCCACTGTAGTGCGCTGGCAGACAGCCATCCTGGACGATCTTGTGATGGAGATTCGGGATACCGGACGACAGTTTAACTTGGATCAAGCCGAGCTTGACAGGGTATTTAGAGAGAGAGATGCAGGTATTATAAAAACCAAAAGGATTATTGCCTGTACTACAAACGGGGCCGCCAAATACTCTGCGGAGATACAAAATGCGGCGCCAGGCGTTATCCTCGTTGAAGAGGCTGGTGAGATCTTGGAAGCTCATATCTTAACCTCGTTAGGGCCTCATACTGAGCAATTGATCTTGATCGGAGATCATAAGCAACTTCGGCCTAAGTGTTCATACGAGCTCAGCGTTGATCAGGGCGACGGTTTTGACCTCAACCGATCTTTGTTCGAACGGCTCGTCCTTAAAGGATTTCCGCACGTCACTCTCACACAACAGCATCGTATGAGGCCGGAGATCTCTTCCATGATCCGCCATCTAACCTACCCTGACCTTACCGATGCTGACTCAACCCGCAACCGAACCAATATTCGCGGCTTCTGCGATAATGTTATATTTGTTAATCACTCCCAACCAGAAGCTGAACTGAAGAGTTCCAAGGAGTTGAGGGACGGCAGAGCCACCTCTAAACAAAATGTATTTGAAGCGCAGATGATATTAAAGTGCGTTCGGTATTTGGCACAGCAGGGTTATAGCTCCGACAAACTCGTTGTTATTACGCCTTATCTTGGGCAGCTGAAGCTTCTGAGAGAGCATCTCGCAAAAGAAAATGACCCCATACTTAATGACCTCGACAAGTTCGACTTGGTGCGCGCAGGGCTATTGACTGATCTTAGCTCAAAGGCAACAAAACCGTCGCTCCGTATATCAACCATCGGTCAGTATACTTAGATCGTCCACCCATGCTTCTAACCTAATCCTCCATCACAAATACTTCACCAAATGACCCTACCCACTACTAGTCAATAACTTACTAAGCCATTAATTTAGACAACTACCAAGGTGAAGAGAGCAATATAGTCTTGGCCTCGATGACCCGAAGCAATAAGTCATTTGATATTGGCTTTATGGCAGCACCTGAACGCTTGAACGTCCTGCTCTCCCGCGCACGAGATGGTCTGATTATGATTGGAAACTCTGAGACCTTCATGCATGCTCGCAAAGGGAAGGATATTTGGCGAAAATTATTCGTTCACCTAAAGGAAAATGACCACATCTACGAAGGATTTCCCGTGAGGTGTGAGAAACATCCGGATCGAACGGCTCTGCTCTGTAAAGCGGAAGATTTCGAGGCAGAATGCCCAGATGGGGGATGTAAGGAGCCCTGGTATGTTCTATCGTGATATATGGCCAGTTAAGATCATACTTTTAACTTGTATTTCCTAGTGGCGAAATGCTGAAATGCGGCCTTCATAAATGCCCGAGTAGCTGCCACCAGCTATTCAATCACGCTAAAATTTCTTGTATGGCCCCTTTGACTCAGAAGTGCTCCAATGGACATAATCAATCCTGGCGGTGCCACCAAGGTGCACCACCAGTTTGTCAAAAATGCGAGCGCGACAGAAAGGATGCATTGAAGAAGGCTCAGAAAGCCCTAGACGAGAAAGAAAAGCGGGAGGAAAAGAATAAGAGGCATCTAGAGGAAGTTGCAAAGGTAGAGGAAGATATCGAACAGATCAATCAGAAGATGAAGGAAATGCGCCTAGATCGTGAACAACAGGCTATCCTTCTTCAAAAACGACAGGATCTTGCAGCTGCCAAGGAAAGGGCTAACAAGAAACAAACAGCCACTCATCAAGCGGATATCTCTAACGATGAAAACGGTTCAAAACCCAAAAACGAAACACTTAAAATTTCCTCAAAGCCTTCACCCGCAGTAAAGTCCAGCCCGAACATTCCAGGAAAGCATTTACGGGTTCGCGAGCACATCAACTCAGCCGTTGAACATAACAAGTCCCCTTCAAAGACGGAATGGCAACGCCAGAAGGACCAGGAAAATGCAAAAAATCCAGCTATCGATAAAATCATGGAGATGATTGGCCTGGAGGATGTCAAAAGTCAGGTTCTTAAAATCAAAGCAAAGGTGGAAACTTCCCTCCGCCAGGGTACCGACCTCAAGAAGGAACGCCTTGGGCTTACACTGCTGGGAAATCCAGGCACAGGTCTGTTCCTCATCCAATTCCCTTGGAGTATCACTACTCTAACTATATAAAGGCAAAACAACTGTGGCGAGGCACTATGCGAAGGTACTGAGCTCGCTAAAAGTCCTCCCCGGAGATGGTTTTATCGAGACCACCGGCTCGCGTCTTGCGCACGGCGGTATTAGCGAAATCAAAAATCACCTACAGCAACTGCAAAATTCAGACGGCGGTGTATATTTCATCGATGAAGCCTATCAGCTTACAGAGGCACACAATCATGGTGGTAAACCGGTTCTTGACTTTTTGCTTGCCGAAATTGAGAACCTCACTGGACTAGTGGTCTTTGTCTTTGCTGGATACCGGAAGCAGATGGAGAAATTCTTCGAACATAACCCTGGGCTCACCAGTCGCATACCCTATACCCTCCACTTCGACGATTATACTGATGCCGAGCTATTGAAAATGCTACAGTTTCAGATGAACCAATTCTTTAAACATGGAGTTGACATTGAGGGTGGTTCTGATGGTCTATACATGCGGGTTGCCGTTCGTCGATTGGGTAGAGGACGGGGACGCGATGGTTTCGGCAATGCGAGAGCATTGGAGAATATATTTAGTAAGATTCGCGAGCGACAGGCAGAACGCTTAACAAATGAAAGGAAAAAAGGAACTCGCCCAGATGATTATCATATCAGCAAGGAAGATCTCATCGGGCCTGATCCATCGAAAGTGATGTTAACTTGCAACTCCTGGGACCAGCTGCAGCAACTTACCGGCCTTGAAGCTGTCAAGAAGTCTATCAGCATTATGATTGACCTTATCCAGACAAACTACGCTAGGGAGTTAGATGAAAAGGAGATAATCGACGTGTCCCTCAACCGCGTTTTCCTAGGATCGCCAGGAACCGGAAAGACTTCTGTCGCCAAATTATACGGTCAGATCCTTGCAGATATTGGTATACTGAGTAATGGTGAAGGTAAGGGTTTCGATAGAGAAAGCTGCCTGGGCATATAACTTTACTAATTTGTGATATCTAAGTTGTCGTCAAGAATCCCTCCGATTTTGTTGGTAGTCACATTGGCGAGTCCGAAGCAAACACGAAAGCCATTCTAGCTACCACCGTCGGCAAAGTCCTTATTATTGACGAAGCGTATATGCTCTACCCTGGCAGCTCAGGGGGTGGAAATAAGACTGATATATTCAAGACTGCTGTCATTGACACTATTGTCGCGGAAGTCCAAAGTGCACCAGGAGACGATCGCTGTGTACTCCTCCTTGGATACGAAGCACAGATGCTAGACATGTTCCAAAATGTTAACCCAGGCCTTACTCGAAGATTTCGACTTTCAGATGCTTTCCGGTTTGAAGACTTCAGCGATTCCGAGCTACAGGAAATTCTACAGTTGAAGCTTAAAAAGCAGGACTTGGGCGCAACCCAGCAAGCTGTATCCACGGCCATTGAGGTTTTGGTCCGCCTGCGAAATGGACTCAATTTTGGAAACGGCGGAGATGTGGAATCTTTGATATCAAAAGCCAAAGTCAACTATCAGGCTCGACAATCCGCTTTACCGGCAGCAGATAGATCCTTTGACTTTCTCTTCGAGCCACAAGATTTTGATCCTGATTTTGACCGATCCTCTGAAGCTGAAACTAATCTGCAGGAGCTCTTCCAGGGCGTAATTGGCTGTGAAGAAATCATCGCGAAGTTGGATGGATTTTTGAAAGTTGCTAAAGGGATGCGAGCTCAGGGGCTTGAACCTCGAGGACAAATACCAATGAATTTCATCTTTAAAGGACCACCCGGTAATTGAACCTTCCTTTTTCTCATCATGTTCACATTCTAACTAGAATTAGGAACTGGGAAAACCACGACAGCACGAAAATTTGGTCAAGTTTACTTTGATCTTGGTTTCTTATCGCAGGTTGAAGTGATAGAATGCTCTGCCACTGATCTAATTGGCGAATACGTCGGCCATACCGGACCAAAGACTGTAAAGCAACTCGAGCGCGGATTAGGCAAAGTCCTCTTTATAGATGAAGCCTACAGGCTCGGTCAGGGTCGCTTCGCCCAGGAAGCAATAGACGAGCTGGTTGACAACATCACTAAGCCCAAATTCGCAGGAAAGCTTGTAATCATTCTTGCGGGTTACGATAACGATATGAATAATCTCCTGCGTGTGAATCAAGGGCTAAGCAGCCGTTTTGCAGACGAGATATTTTTCCCATCACTGAGCCCAAAACACTGTCTTCAGCTACTCGAGGACATGCTCAAGCGAAGCCAAATCACTTTTCCATCGATACATGATCCAACGATCTATCTTAGCCTTGAGGAGCAGGTTGCGGAAATATCCAAGCTTCCTGGCTGGGGAAACGCAAGAGATGTCCAGACGCTCGCGAAAACCATGGTTCGGGCCGTATATCAGAGTAATGTCACCAAGGTTGACCAGCTTATTTTACCGGCCGAGATAGCCCGGAAGTGCGTCCGGGACATGTTGGTCGACCGATGCAAGAGAGCAAAAGTTACGCCTTCATCCCGACAACAGTATGCAGGGCCAGCTAAATCGCAGGATGATTCATATTCGCCACCACCCGTTGGAATTGGTGCCTCGACAACAACAAAATCCGAGGTACCGAAACCAAAGGAAGACGAAGATGCAGATAAATCACAACCCAGGGTTGCCATAGATGATGGTCGTGACATAGGGGTTGCCGACGACATTTGGGAACAACTTCAAACTGACAAAAAGGACGCTGAATTCCAGGCGCAGAAAAGCAAGCAGGACATCCGCGAACTAGAAGAAGCCCAGCGTGCTGCGGAGGAGGTCGAAAAGGAAGTTGAGAAAGTTGCGGCCGCGCTGCGAGAAATGAAGGCCAAAAATGATGCCGATATTCTTGAGCGCTTACGCCTTCGTGAAGAAGCAAGGATTCGCGAGATGGAAGCAAAGGCTGAGGCAGAACGCATTCGGAGAGAGTTAGAAAGGAAGAGGCAGGAAGGGGAACGGAAAAGGAAAATGGAAGAACTTGCTCAGCGGAAATTGAGGGAGATGGGGGTTTGTATCGCCGGGTTTAGATGGATTAAACAGAGCGGTGGGTATCGGTGTACAGGTGGCACCCATTGGGTACCGGACTCCCGACTGAATTGAAAAAAAAGATAGTATTTAGGAAGGGCAGCCAATTTTGCACCCACTGTTATGCTGCCTATAGGTAAAAGTGATACATAGGAAATAGTATGTATGGAACTTTCAGTTATATTCTTCGATAGTGAGTTCAGCGTGTCGAAAATGACCCTTTGCACTTTGTCCTCTTGCGCCAACGATATCAACACACCAGTCAAGGAATGAATCAAAGCCTTGTTCAGGATTTACTTCATAGAACTGCCAGTTCTTCTTGATAAAGGCTTTTAATTCGGCAAAGAATTCTTCAATCGGGTTCAGGTCTGGCGAGTACGGTGGTAAATATACCAATTTAACCCCCGCATCTAAGCACATTTTCTCAATATTCTCGGAGTGGTGAAAGGATGCATTGTCCATGACTATGACAGAGTTGGGATCTGGCCATTTCCCGCAGTGTTGGAGCAGCTGCTCAATGAAGTCCTCGAAGACAGTAGCATCAGTGGTGCCCCGGAAGACACGAGAAAGAACTATGCCATCTTGGGAATATGCGGGCAGAATGTGATACCGCTGGTCACGGTGGAATCTTGATACCTGCACTGGGGTCACACCGAGGGGCGACCAACCTGTACGTCTGAATCCTATCCGCTTATCACAGCCGGATTCATCTACATATACCAGTTGATATGAACTGAAGTCAGAGAGATTATGAAGGTAAGAATCTCGCAAGTCTGAATTGCGCTCTCTTGCTCTTTGTCTGACCGATTTTTTAGACCAGCCGACTGACTTGAGAGCTCTGCTGATGCTGCAGGCTGTGGTATGTATCTGGAATTCATCCCAGAGGAAGATCACCATCTCGTCTAGGTATAAACCAGGCTTTTCAAGCAAATGGTCACAAAGGGCTTCTAGCATGGATGGTGTGATACTTCGTCGCCGGCCAACGCGATTTGGTGGTGCCCTAGGGCCACCAAACAGCCGCATATTCGAGCGTATGTTCTTGATCGTCTGCTTGCTGCACCCAGCAGCGTCGGCGATTTGGGAGGTTGTTAGTGGTTCGCCGCTATTTAACATATCATAAATGAGGGACCGAGTTGATTGTGCTAGATTTGGCGCCATTTCTGCATAGCATCTAAGGTGGCTGCGAGCGTTGATTCTTTCCTCACTGCAGGTCAGTGAAAGTCGTCGTCCTACACTAGAACAGAACGGGCATGGTACAAAGGTGGTTGTCACAGTCTTGTTTGGTACCATACCATCGAAACACAATACTACTATGCTAGCCACATACCTACTAGCGCCTCTTGGCATATATGCAGGAGAAACAAAGAGAGTATTGAGCAGGGAAAGCCAATTTTGCAACGTACTGTATCAGCGACTGTATCGCGAGGTAGAATTGCTGGAGAGAAGATGCCGCGAAAACGCAAAAACAACAGTACCCAATCCTCGCCAAAGAAGAAAGCAGCTTCTTCAGCTGCTCTAGTGACGACACAGCAAAGCACTTATACCCCAGCTCCAGCTCCGGCCCCTGAAATCTACACGATCCGCGTGGCCCACCCATCTCTGGATTATGACTACTGTTTTGACGGCCTAAAGGACGGCCACCCAATCTGGCGAGATTTCTGCGAACTGGCAGTTACTCTTACCGCAGCAGCCTATGAGCACCGAGGTAATAGCACCATGGCGGACATACAGGCACTTTGGAACCAGTCCGCATCAGGAACCGATGTCCCTCCGATAAAACTGGAAGTCAAGACTGCAGACGCAGTCGCACAAACAGTAATACCTACACCAGAAGCACCTTCGCCGCCAGAGCAGCATGTTGTGGACACGGCAAATAGACCCCCTCAAACCACAGAGGAGACCCCGCTATCACCCCCCACGGCAGAACAGAGACCCAAGACCTACGCACAGGCAGCCACGACCAGGGGCCCAGCACCCCCAAAACCGAGATCAAAACCAAAGAACCGAACCGATCTGCGAACCGATTCGCGAACAACATCAAGGGATACCAACCCAACACCAGCATCACTGCAGCGATTCACCCTGATAATGGAGACACAGGTGGGGGAGGACTTCAACCCGGTCACAATTCGAGATAACCTCAACAAACACCTCCCTTTCCCTGAAGTTGTCGGAGTTGCTCGGTCCAGACAGGGTAACTTAGTGGTGACCTGCAGAAGCACAGTGGAGGCGGTTCTTAAATGCCAGCACCTTTGGATGCCAGGACTGCCACCAGTCAAACGGGTCCAGGATGAAGACAGATGGGCCAGACGAATCTTGTATCTCAAGCAGCCAGTGGCTGCTAGCACTTTGGAACAGGAGATCAGAGACTACAATTCAGCCAAGCTTGCCGCCGCCCCTGGGTTTATCGGAACTTCCACGGTCATCTTGTTCTTTGCAGATGACAGGGAAGCGCCAAGGGAGCTCTACTTGCTGGGCACTCGCTTTAGCCTAGCTAGGTACAAGCCCAAGCCAAGGTCAACCCGGCATGGAGTTCTATAGAAATGGACAGAAAAGGACACAAGGACGGAACAAACGTAGGCCCCCAAGACGAGGCTCTAATTTCGTCTGCATGTAATAGAACACCATAGATTAGACATAAGGGTAGAGATAGTTGTGGTAGCCTGCATATCCCCCAGGGGAGAGGTCAGGGTAAATGAAACACACACACACACACATACTGTATCAGCTATATATCTGTTGTAGAGAGGGTGTAGCAGGGCCAGTCGGCCGGATGGTCCCCAAGCGATATGAGCCAGGGACTTGGTACATATGTACCAAACAGCTCAATCACTAGGCTCTGATATTAGTTAATGTCGGATATTGCATCACGTGACCTCATACGGCTCACGTAGGGTTAAGCTCTTTCCCACACACATATATGGGGGCCCAAAATGACCCGTAGACCTAGAGATGACCATCATTCATCTCTTTACATCTATTTTGAGCTCCTGGTCGTAGCGTTCCGGGCTTTACAGCATTTCATTGCTGTTCCGCTGTGTTTCGTAGAGACGCCACGCCATCGGTTGATTGGCCGCCTCTGAGAGTTAATCACATGATTAGTCAACTTAATTTAACCTCAACCCCGCAATTGTCTTTCAGCACTATTCACAAATATCACATTATTTTCAAAATCTGGTTTTTAGTTTAATCTTTCATCCTCTACTAAAATCCTTCGAAGATGGACAATCATTGCGTCCCAACACATATACAGGAAGCCTGTAATGACTTTGAGTCGGCGGCCCAATCATACCGTTCAGATTCAGAAAATACAACTAAAGCTCAGGAAATGGATAAAGCACATTCCCACTTCAAAACCATCGCCCAAAACTACATCGATAGTGGACACCCCGATATCAGTCTGTCAAAAAATTTGTCGACTTATCAGAAGAAAGGGAGGCCACAAAAGATTGTCTTGCCATTGTGGAGCAAGCCAGAGCCCTGGTGGAAAAGAAGGAGAAAACCCTGGTGGAAGAGAAGGCAAAATCTACTGTCAATGAGCCGGTAACTTTATATCCTTCCTTAACCTCTATGCAAAAGTCTGAAGCTAAGATATATTAGGGTAGTACTATGGATGACTGGGAGAAATTATAAGGCATCCAGCGGACGAGAAGGGGTTTATCGGGGCTTATAGGGTTGATGCAGTTGGGGTTGACGCAGTTGGCGATTGCCCAAGGATTTAGATTCTGTACCATTATGCCTACTTTCTGCACGATTTAGGTACATAGCATTCAAGGATATTACCAAACCCTTGTTGGCTCAGGCCCATCTTGTAGACTTGCCAGTTTTAATGGACGCCTTCACTTTAGCAAAAAATTCCTTGATGGCTATAAATATTACAGGCCTTGATTATGTGATTTCTAGATACTAACTACATACATACCAGCTTGTTTCAGGATGGCATTCAACAAAGAGCGAAGAGTGTTGGGGCGTCAAGCTGATTCTGCAACACACTGTATGTAAATCATTGAGATACAACATTGAAGTACCTACATTGGGGGATTAGTGGGTGAGCCTGCAGAGTAAAGATACGATTTGGCTGCCTCGAGAATATCGGCGCACGTGTTCAACAGCCGAAACTGGTGGGACTCTTGTCCTGGGTCATACATACTTCTGGGAGGGTTTCACCACATCTCAAAATAGGGTTTGATACAGATGGGCTCGAAATTGGCTTCCATATATCAGAACGTACAAACCCCTTCTCAAACCCTATGTTACAGACCACCTGCGGCGCAGCCCCAGGATATACGCTCATTGGACAGAGTTCCGGAACGGAACAACATCATGGGTCACGTGATATACAGAGCGCGATTGCCAAGCATCGCGAAGAGCCAAAGCCGCGCTACACATACATAGCGAAGTCTGCCGTACAGACCGGATGAGGGGTTGGCTCTGAGCCACGATATACAACATGTATATAAAGACGCTCATTACCTTAGGATTAAGAGTCTTATACTCGCGATCAAACCAGCTACAGTTTTACTATACTGCTTAATACAAAGCATATTCTATTTATCTTTTATAATATTCATCGAATACCCTTTGCCTATTGACCAGGCCAACTTTATCCGCATTGCTTATAAGGACCTTCAGCCTTTATCCGACCAAGGCACTGACTGAAGCCACACTTGGAACTGAGAGATAGCCTCGCTATAGTATCCTACCTCGCCCCGGTACCGATCTGTCTCCTACAACATATGTATTCCCTGAAAGTCTATGTCACTTGACTTTCCTTTAGTCCATCACTTGGACTGGTTCTGGCCTTGGCGCGTTGGACTTCAAGTCACGTGATTTAAGTAGTTATTCCGTCCGGAATCTTGTTATCCAATGAGCGTATTTATCTGGGCTGCGCCGCAGATGGTCTATAACACTTTTAAGTCCTATTTAACTACAGTCTGTTGCAAAATCACCTTGACACTCCAACACTCTTTGCTCTTTGCTTCAAGTTTATGCCAAGCTGGACTAGTACGATAATGGTTAGATAGTGGATCATATAGTATGTCAGTTATAGCCCCTTGTATTTTTGTTTACAACATTCATACTAGAAGATTGCGGGAAGATTCTATGCACAAAGCAGAGCAAACGATGGATGAAATGTCTCCTGATTTTAACAGACTGCGTGATAGCCTATCTTTGGTGCTTGAAGTCGGTGGAAACTCTCGTTAACATACATTGGCCGCGAAACATGGTTACATATATGTATATTTCTTTCATCATCGTGAATTTCTAGCTTTTCGCATCACTATAATTATGCCGCAACCTAAGCGGAGCAGAAATGCGGCATTACGATGCCGACTGGCACTAGGGACTACCGAGCAAGGTGCTAAAAAGACCAGAAATAAATAAATGATGGTATCTGTCTATAGCCGGTCTATATGTCTATGTAAGATATGTGGCACTAGATAACTAACAAAGCCCTAAATATTGACCCAAAGTGGTAGGGTTAAGCGTACAAAGAGCAGGCTCGCCTTTTGGCTTGAAAAAAAGGATCACTCCTGCTCATGATAATATTAACGACGAGCTATAACTAACACAACACTCTAAAATGGTTTCTAAATCTTGTGTCAGAGTACAACTGATTACTTCAACTACCTATCTAAAATGGAAGATACCGATCAAACTGAGACTACCAGGCAACCAACGTTGTCTGATAGTTCTAGCGAAACAGAAGCTTCGAAGCCTAAGTTCAAGATCATTAGAGAAATGTTGTCTTCCCAGATGCCTTGGCTGTAAAGTTGCTAATCTAAAATCTGAAGCTGGGATAATCGCATATCGAGATACAAGGTAGTGGAATTCTTCGAGGAGCAGAAAGACAGTGAGCTTGAGCAGTATATCTTTATTGTGCGGGTGCGAGTTGGTGCGCAGATTTAATTCTTCCCTCCTCCCCTAGAGTGTTTGACTAACAATTTGGCCTCAGATAAAGTTTCAAAGGAGCCCACCACCTACGTTGATATTAAGTCGAAATTTTTATGTGGTATAGTTTACGATATTATGAAAGGAGCCAATGTTCCTTTAAATCTGCGCGAGAATAAGCCCACGGTAATTCCAAGATTCAATAACCTAAAACCTAATATTGACCCGAGTATAGGTTGAGCAAAACCTTTTATATCTCTTCCTTTCCGAGCTTGTCGAGGCGCAGCGTGCGGTTCACGTGGAGGAGCACGGGCGGCATCTAGCTATACTAGTCGCCCATGTTGAAGGAGCTTACGCCTCTATCTCTAAACGCCTTGCACCGTTGCTAAGTATTGGGGAAATTACATATGATCTCCTCTGGGCTATATTTAAACCCGGTTCTTTTGTGTATGGAACCTGCAGTGGCACAGAGAAACCGAGATGCGTTGTGTTCGACACGGCACAGAATGAGGAATATAATGGCCTAGAATACTTCTGTCTAGTGACCCACTACTTGGACTTTGATGGAAAAGAATTTGGACTTGCCACGATACGACTCAGGATACCCAGGTTTACGGGGCTGCGCTTGATCCGCTCTCTTCCAGCATTCCCTCTTGCCTACCACCCAAGGAAGGACAACGTGAGACAGAGTCTCCTCGAGTGCGGCCGTAAATTTTACCAGCTGGCTGGGATACATACTAGGCAATACCATGGCCGCGCCTTCTTCGTAGAGAACGGCGAGATTGTGAAGGTTAACGTTAATGGCCGCGTTGTGATCGATGCCGCGTTTTTCCAGTCGATGAACCCGAATTACCCAAGACCATGGATCGACGTGAGGGATTCATACACGCTCGCTAATAATGGGGCCCGTGATACCGACTCTAACTTAGTGAGGCTTGGACAGTGCCAAAATGAGAACCTCAAACAGAGTGACGTCCGGCTATCCAATATAAAAGACGATGCATTGCTGACGAGCTGCCCCACGGTCCTCGGTTTTAGCCTTAACGACAAGCGATTCCGTAGGTTCTCGGTGTATAAGATACTGTGAAAATGGCTGACAAATGTATAGTTGAGTTTGCTGTTGCTAATATCGGTGAAGTTACTTGGGCTTCCAACCCCTTTAAATGCCTGGCCATTCCAGCCGAAAATAAAGACCTCCTCACTTCCCTCGCTATGAAGCAATTGGGTATCGTATGCAGCTTACCATTCGATGACGTCGTTAGGGGTAAGGGAGATGGCCTCAACGTGATCCTACAGTACGATCCCTAGCTCCGGTTCTCTCTCGCTTCATTCGCTAACATATTAGTCGTTAGTGGGCCGCCAGGCGTTGGAAAGACTCTGACCGCCGAAGCCTTATCTGAGCACCTCCATCGCCCTCTTTACTCGGTGAGGTTAACTTATAACGACACATATCCCAAAATTGTGCTTCGCTCTAACAAATACAGATATCGGCTGGCGAATTAATCGCTGAGCCTGGCAGGCTTGAGGCCACCCTCAAACTTATCCTCAAGATAGCTAAACACTGTGGTGCTATACTCCTGTTGGATGAAGCTGACGTGTTCCTTGAACGTCGTTCACATTTTAACGACCATCATAACCGGCTGGTTGCCGTCTTCCTTCGCGCGCTAGAATACTCCGAGGGAATCTTGTTCTTAACGACTAACCGCGTAACTGAATTTGACGATGCTATACTTAACAGAGTGCATCTGAAGCTAAGATATGATGGCCTTAGTCGAGAGCAGCGGAAGCATGTCTGGAAGTATTTCATCTCTAAAGCTAACACTCATCAGGGGCCTGCGGATATAACCGCAGCTGAGCTTAATTCCTTGGAAACATTAGATCTGAATGGCCGAGAGGTAGGTCTATTGCGGATTTACTTATTTTCCGCGAGGCTAACGGGTGATTGGAGCCAGATTAAAAACATAGTATCTCTATCACATACCCTGGCTACTGTGCACGGATCCCGTCTATGCGTTCACCACCTGAAACAGGTTCTGAAATTAAATGATAGATTTATTAACGACTTCGGGCATGTGGATCGAATAGGTAGTATATACGCTTAGAGATATATCTGATTTTACGATATCTGGCATCGATACGCGGCGTATAAAGATTGTGGCATCAACGGCCGGAGATACAGGGACATGGCCACAACTATCAAAAAGGCTAGGGCAAATGTGCCTGTCGGACTTGGAAGGGGATATGTTACAGACCACCTGCTGCGCAGCCTCAGGATATACGCTCATTGGACAAACAAGACGGAGCGGGACAATGATGTTCCACTCGCCCAGTCGCCCAACTCACCAGAGCGACCAAGAGAGCAGGGAGAGTCAACAAGTCGCCAGGTCAACGAAGTCGACGGCGCGACTAAGCGACTCGGGAGAACAGGATATACAAGGACTTGTATATAAAGATGTTCATTATATTAGGATCAAGAGTCTTATACTCGCGATCAAACCAGCTACAGTTTTACTATACTGCTTAATACAAAGCATATTCTATTTATCTTTTATAATATTCATCGAATACCCTTTGCCTATTGACCAGGCCAACTTTGTCTTCATTGCTTATAAGGACCTTCAGCCTTTATCCGACCAAGGCACTGACTGAAGCCACACTTGGAACTGAGAGATAGCCTCGCTATAGTATCCTATCTCGCCCCGGTACCGCCATTGACGAGCTACAGAGAATGCGTTTGATGTCCACGCATGGAGACTTGCCTGCCCACATTCGGTGTCGTTCGTCCGCCCAGTTTCGGCATTCCAGGATTATGTGCCGTACCGTCTGCGGCCCCACGAGAGGCTGTGTAATAGGAATAAGCGGCTCCTCCCCGGAGATCCCCTTAGCTAGCAGTCAGGTATCTCTAAAGAGTTGCCAAGTGGTGTTTTGTGATATATTCTTCCTCGACGATAGAGATTATAGACAAGTTCTATATTTTGAAGCTCCAGCAGGGTATATTGCCTTAAATATCGAATATAAGGTATGTAGAATATTAGCGCTCAATGAAACTTGCTTCAACGAACATTAAGTCCAACCTGCTGAAAAAGAGTTTCTAAAACTTGCCATGAATGTTGAGGGTGAAGATTGCTTCGTAGGGTAAACGGTGAATGAAAGCACATACGTATGCTAGAGGAGGAAAAAGGAGCAGGAGTTGCTGCCTCTATATACTTTTCTGCTTATGTAATATGATGAATTTCCAAAACAGGAATATTGCCAAGCTAAGTTCCGTCTTCAAATAGTCTCAGAGGCGGCCAATCAGCGGATAGGGTGGCGTCTCCACGAAACACAGCGGAACAGCAACAAAATGCTGTACAGTAGCTTGCAATACTGGTTTCATCCCTTTGAGGCCGCTTATAAATTATATATTCCGCCAGATGCATGTTAAGGTTTAGCCTTACCTAGAATGGTTTAAAGAGTCTTGGTGCGGTACCTACGAATGGTCTGTAAACTAAATGTACCATACTGTTACATTTTGTTTTACTGTAAGTATATATGAGATGACCAAACCAATATGAAAATTCCTGATGAATATCCGAAACTGGAGGGCTGAATAACTTTATGCCATTTCGTATATATGTGACCAGCCAGCAGTCCCCCATTTGAATAAACCAGCAAAGCGCCATAGCTCACTTGGTCCTGACACTGCTGACAATACGTGATTATCAATCTCTCAATGACGTGGAGATTGACTTCGGAAAAAATGTTGGCCGATGTGGAAGATCAGTGGGCATACCCCGCTCGGATCAACCCAATTTTCAGCCTTGTCCACAGCTGCCAGCGCTATCATCAACGACATTCCTGTTATACTGGAAACGGATAAAAAAAATCAACCTGACCCTAATACAACATATGGAACAACAAGCGGCCACCGGGTATGGTGGAGAATTAAATCCCGTCGATCGAGATGGACTTTGCCTTCTATCTTTGGATGGTGGCGGGGTGCGAGGGCTATCCTCGCTTTACATCTTGAAAGCCATCATGGATCGGCTTAATGGTGAAAAGAAGCATAAAAATCGAGTAAAGCCTTGTGAGATTTTTGACCTCATCGGCGGAACTAGCACTGGCGGGTAAGATAACCTATATACTGGGGAGGAACAAACTTGAACTGACACTATAGACTTATCGCTATCATGCTTGGACGACTCGAAATGGACGTAGATGAATGTATTGAAGCATATAACAATCTCGCAAAAGCTGTGTTTGGCGAAAAGCTTCACCGACTTCCAACAGATCTCAAGGGCAAAACTCAGGCACGATTCGACTCAGCTAAGCTTGAGAATGCTATTAAAGCGGTGATTTCGAAGAAAAATATATCTGAGACAGAGTTTCTCAATGATGGAACGAAGCGAGGGTGCCATGTGTAAGTGCACATGATTACTCTTATGCAAAGCCATGTCTCTAACCAGACCAGCTTCGTATGTGCCACCGATCGCTACACGAAAAATACTGTGCGGCTTCGGAGCTATAAACTTCTTGATCAGCCGAGTATTTCGGCAACGATATGCCAGGCAGCCCTTGCAACTTCTGCAGCAACGACATTCTTCGACCCAGTTTCTATTGATGACCGAACATTCGCTGATGGCGCTTTTGGAGCAAACAATCCTGTCAACGAGGTAGAGAGAGAAGCATCGAATATCTGGTGTCCTGAAACAGCGGAACTAAAACCACTAGTTAAGTGTTTTATCTCGATTGGAACTGGCAATCCGGGTGTAAAGCCATTTGAAAAAAGTTTCTCACGGTTTCTAAGGAAGACTCTTGTGGAGATTGCTACCGAGACAGAAAGCACCGAAGCAGAGTTTATAGACCGGTGGCGGGGACATTATGATACCAAACGCTATTTTCGATTTAATGTAGAGCATGGGCTACAGGATATTGGCATAGATGAGTACAACAGGAATGGCGATATCAAATCGGCCACGGATGGGTATCTCACACATACGGACAGAATATTTCGGATACGGGACTGCGTTCGCAATCTGGGACTGAAAGGAAGTGTGTATATCGAAAACTTTTCCTAGGTCATGAATAAAACTCAAGCTGACTTTTTTTTTTATAGAGATGGTGAGGAGTGATCTCGAACGTATGGTGACTGTAAGTGCAGAATAATGCTTTTTACTAGAAGATATAATAACCCAACGTAGGAATATGAGGAGAGGTTGGTTAAAAGACGCAGAATTGGTATGTTTGTGTGTGGCTCTGTGTGTGGCTCTATAGAATCACCACTCACGATGAGATAGTTCTAAATCCACAAGAGGCGACTGGAAATGTCCATTGGTGCGTATCACGGTCCATAAATAATTGTGGTGGAAATAGCTTACTTCTAAGCCAGGAAGGGAACAAACCCTCTTAATCAAAAAATTGACCTGGGTATATTACGGATCGCGAAAGGGGCATCATTTGATTCTCACCACAAAATCGATTTGTCAAGACTCCCGATAGCAAGAGGTGCCACCTTTGATTCTGAAGCCAATGAACATGACCCCAAATGCCATCCCGATACCCGAATAAACCTTCTCGCCGACATCTACAAGTGGGTCGAAGACCCGCACGGAAAATGCATCTTCTGGCTACATGGTATGGCAGGGACTGGCAAATCTACAATATCCCGCACCGTGGCTGCCCATCTCTCCGACAAAAACTTGCTTGGCGCCAGTTTCTTCTTCAAGAGGGGTGAAGGTGATCGTGGCAAAGCATCCATGTTTTTCACTACAATTGCTTCTCAGCTAGCTCACCACTTACCTCCCTTAGCTCCGCACGTTCGGGACGCTATTGAGAGCGACTTTGCCATTGCCGACAGATCCAAAAAAGAACAGCTTGAGAAGCTAATCCTTGAACCTTTAAAGAACTGCAAGGACAACCCTCATATTCCTGCGCTGATATCGGTGGTGATTGATGCACTCGATGAATGCGACCGAGGCGATGACGCCTCAGCTATCGTTCGCCTTCTATCTAGAGCAAAAGAAGTTACTTCTATCCGCCTAAGATTATTTGTTACTAGTAGGCCCGAGTTGCCCATACGACTTGGCTTTAATGATACTAGTGACAGCTACAATGACCTGGCACTCCATGAAATCCCTAGGCCCGATATAGCAAAAGACATATCTACGTTCTTACGCTTCCGGCTGGCCCAAATTCGGGATGATTTCAATAGGACTGTTCTAACGGGTTTAGGGATGCCATTAGATTGGCCCCCTTCTACCCAATTTCAGAGTCTTGTTGATATGGCTGTACCGCTGTTTATCTTCGCGTCCACGGCTTGTCGCTTCATTGCCGACCGAGGCTGTGGAGACCCCGAGGAACAGTTGGACAAAATTCTGGAATACTACAAAACAGGTGGACTTTCTCAGCTTCACACAACCTATCTCCCAATTCTAAACCAGCTTCTCCTTAAGCGTACCGATTCAGGATCGGTAAATCGCAGCGAAGCTGAGAAAGCTGACATATTAAGGTGGTTCCGCGAAATTGTTGGCGCCATCGTGCTCCTTGCAGATCCTCTCCCTGCTATATCACTTGCCCGACTGCTTGGAAAATCTCAGAGAAGTGTTAACTCGAGGCTAGATGGGTTACATTCCGTCTTACATATCCCCTCGGACCTGCACACCCCTGTTAAGCTACTCCACCTGTCCTTCCGCGATTTCCTCATTGACCGTAAAAACCGCAACGCAAATCCGTTCTGGGTTGACGAACGAGAAACGCATGCAAGGCTATCGATCCGATGCATTCAACTGCTATCAACGGGTGATAACCTTAGGAGGGATGTTTGCAACCTGGGGCTGCCGGGAAAGCTGCGGTCGGAGATCGACCAACAGACTATACATATTCACCTGCCATCCGAGGTTCGATATGCTTGTCTGCACTGGGTCTACCACCTCAACGAAAGCGATGGCACTGTACAGGATGGTGACCACGTACACCACTTTCTCACCCGTCATCTCTTGCACTGGCTTGAGGCTCTAAGTATTTTGGGGCATATTTCAGAGAGTATCCGTATGGTAGACAACTTATTGGGTCAGCTTGATGTATGTGTGTTCTTTGCTACCATATCAGCCAAAGTACTAATTTACTCTATTCAGGCAATAAACAGCGGCAAAGTATCGATATTTCTTCGTGACATTAGACGAGTCATTCTTAGTAATTGCTCCATTATCGACTCATCGCCTCTCCAGATTTACTGTTCGACTATTATATTTTTGCCGGAATCTAGTGAAGTTCGAAAGATGTTTAAAGACCAATTCCCAGGTTGGATATCTTTATTTCCAAAGGTTGCCACCAATTGGGATGCGTGTTTAGTGACGCTTGAGGGCCGTCGCGGCTCCGGCTCCGTCAACTCGGTTGTATTCTCGCCGGATGGCAGCAAGCTTGTATCGGCGTCAGAAGATATCACGCTCTGGGATGCAGTGACAGGCCACTGTACTATGGAACTCAGTTGCCAACTCGATTGGTTCAGTTCAGTTGCATTCTCACCAGACGGGAGCCGGCTCGCGTCCGCATCGGTACGGCTATCTGATTACGACACTGTGTCAACATCGACTGTCGATCTCTGGGACGTGGTGACAGGCGAGTGTATTTTGACGTTCAATGGCCACAGTAGCTGTGTTAACTCGATCGCATTTTCGCTAAACGAGAGGTGGCTCGCATCAGCGTCGGGTTATTATAACGTAATAGATGCAGCTTCGGATGATAGGACTGTCAAGCTCTGGGATGTTGCAACAGGCAAATGCATTACAACCTTTGAAGGTCATAGTGGCGCCGTTGACTCCGTTGCGTTTTCACCCAATAGCACCCAGCTTGCGTCAGTGTCATTTGATGGCACTGTTATACTCTGGGATATGGCAACACGCAAATGTACTAGGAAATTCGAAGGCATAAACTCGGTTGCGTTCTCACCCGATGGTAGTCAGCTAGCATCAGGTTCAGGCCTGACTATCAAGCTCTGGGACCTAGAGACAGGCAGATGTACTAGGACATTTGATGAGCACCATGGTGATGCAGTCAACTCTATTACATTCTCACGAGATGGCAGCAAGCTTGCGTCAGCATCATATGATACATCTGTCTTGCTCTGGGACGCGGCAGCGGGCAACTGTATAGCAATATTTGATGGTCATAGCAACTCTGCTGCCTCAGTCGCATTCTCACCAGATGGCAGCAAGCTTGCCTCAGCATCAGGCGGGACTGTTGAGATCTGGGATGTTTCAGGTGACTATAATACAACATTCGAAGGCCATAGCCGCCGTGTCAATTCTGTTACATTCTCACCAGATGGCAGAAAGCTTGCCTCAGGATCGTCTGATGCAACTATCAAGCTCTGGGATGTGCCAACAGGAAACTGTATTGCAACATTTGGAGGCCGTGGCTGGGCTGCTCGGTCAGTCGCATTCTCACCAGATGGCAGCAAGCTTGCTTCCGTATCGTATGACGCAACTCTTGAGCTCTGGGATGTGGCAACAGGTAACTGCATTTTGACGTTTGAAGGCTATAGTGACCGTGTTTTGTCAGTCACATTCTCACCAGATGGTAGAAAGCTTGCATTAAGTGGTAAAACTGTTAAGCTCTGGGATGTGGCAGCAGGCTGCTATATTACAACACTTGAATGCGATAACCGCTTTCCCGTCCACTCAATCGCGTTCTCACCAGACGGTAGATGGCTTGTCCCGGATAACGGGCCGCTCGAGGTCGGGGAAGGGCCGCTCAAGCTCTGGGATACGGTCACAGGCAAATGTGCTATGACATTAAAAGGTGGTGTTGATTTTGTCCGCTCACTTGCATTCTCGCCAGATGGCAGCCGGCTTGCATCGGCGTCAGGTGAAATAATTTCCGTTAGGCTCTGGGATATAGCAACAGGCAACTGTATTGCAATGCTTGATGTGGGCACGACCCTCACGAACTTAGCCTTTGATGCAACTGGATCACAGCTCAACACGGACATCGGTAGCTTTGTGCTAAATTTGCCGTCTGCAGAGGTTACAACCGCGGCGCTTTCACCTCTTTGTTTACCCCTAACAGTTAATCGCCAAGGCTTCGGGCTAAGCATAGACAAGACGTGGGTCACTTGGAGCTCCCACAAAGTCTTATGGTTGCCGCCAGCTTATCGGCCTCTGTCGTCGGCTGTGACGGCGTCAACTGTGGCACTCGGGTGCTTATCGGGGCAAGTCGTTTTAATGACACTCTCAGCTGCAAATGGTCTTTCAGGTTTCGCTGCCGAAGTTGCAAGTGGTCTGGAGACTCATTCCCCTCTCTAGGTTCTGGTGGTCATGTTCTTCGAAAAAATACTCCAACGACTATTAGTATTATCAATGCGTTTCGACACAGCTGCCGTAACACAAACCCGGGAAGCATGTTTTCCGCCGACCTTCATTTATTCCACAACGTGGGAGACACACCCAAATTGGCCGATTTGATCACTAACTCGAACACGGCTATATACGGTGAGGTGTGCGATGGCCGAATGACCGTGAAAAAGATGGGCCGCCGCTGGGATCGGCGATATATAAAGAAGCCAAACACTGCATCCAGATATTGGTCAGGCCTTTCAAGAAGATGTTCGCGGATGGCATCCAGCATGGCTGGCGTGATGGACCGATAACGATGGTGACAAGGGCGATGACGACGGTAAAGGAGATGGAAAGTGATGGAGGTTAGAGCGGATATTTTGAACTAAGCGGACACTACAGCCAGCAACAGCAGCGATTTAGCGGTTAGTAAGCGAGTTGCTAAGAATTATCACAAATAAGATCATGCTAGGAGGCTGCGAGATTCGGTGGCATAGAGGGTATTAATTAATAGGGTCCTGTGGTTTACGGTATACATAATATGAGGCTGCCTTTCGGATTCAACATAAACTTCTTATGGGTGCGAGATTACAGCGCCTAGTCATCACTTAGTAAAAACGAGGATATTACAATATAGTACGTTTACTTTACAGGCCATGCTCAGGTACCGCGCCAAGATTATTTTAACTTTTCTAGGAAAGGCTAAACCTTAGCATATATATGACGGAATAAACTATTTACAAGCAACAGCTTAGAGGTGAATCCGGTATTGCAAGCTCCTGTATAACCCGGAACGCTACGATCAGGAGCTCAAAATGGGCGTAGAGAGATGAATGATGATGATATCTAGGCTTATAGGCCATTTTGGGCCTCTATATATATATGTGTGTAAAAGGGCTAACCCTACATGAGCCGTGTATAAGTGGATATGCCAGGGGCCGTATGAGGTCACGTGATGCAATATCCGACAAATAGTTCAATTATTACGTAATTTAATAAAATTTTATGTATAAAGCTCTCCACTTCCTCTCGTTGTCTTTGTTATCTTTTTTCTTCCTTTATTATATTATGCTTTATTTGTTCCTGTTGATTATCTTTTTTCGCGTTGTATCATTTTATTAATCTTTATCTGGCCTTGGCTCTTTTCTTTTATGATGGTTTAGTTGAACCCACTTCGGTATATGAGGTAGTATAGCTTACTACATCCAACCTTTCTCTTCTCTGCTATAGGCAGTATGGTAGTTCTACCTTCTAATCTGTTGATGCTTTGCATCAGCTACAACAGTCCCTCGTCCTCCTGGAAAGGACCAATATCTGTCTCCCTAGCCCTACCTACTAAATGGCCTTATATATTATTCTTAATGGAGCGATAAATCACCCATCCGCAGGCTCGATGTTGCAGTAGGCCACATTTCCTGAGGCGCATGTGCTCTACCCCGACTGGTGCCCAAACTTTTCACAGACAGATGTCCTTGAGCCCACGGAGAACGGGGAAATGGGCGACACTGGCCTCGCAGAGACACCGGATGACGCGGCCCTTCTCCGTGCGGATGAGCTGAGCTTGCTGGGGGCGATGTACGAATTCCGGCTGTGACAGGAATGCCTATCCTTGTTTATAGCCCGTGTTCTGACACAGGCAGATTCACTGACCTGTGCGTTCTGCATTATTCGCCGCCGTCATATGTTGGCGCTCGAAATCCACAGGGGACTGCATATTCGCTGCATTGGAGGGCTGCGGCTTTGGCAAGTGGTAACTATTTGGCAAGTGGTGACTACACGTGAGCTGCGCAGGGCCCGTGGAGGCCGGCCTCCATTGAAAAACATAAATACCGAGACATCTCCCCCTTCGTTCGTAAAGATTTCGCAACCACACGACTGGTTACTTGAGAAATTCAGCTTTGCAACACGTCCGCCCAAAATGTTTCCTGCTCCCCCGGAAGATGTTGAGTTCTACCTTATTTTCTATCAATCTCAGTCAGCGCAATGCGCTTCACGTTATGAGCGCCCTGGCACGCCTAACCTTGGTTTGCCTCCCTCACCCTCGGTTTCTGATGTTCGCAATCGCTATGCCAACAATGTGGCTGTGGTTATAGCTGGCGCCATTGCTACCGGGGCCTCCGCAAAAAATCGTGGCGACAGTGCATGTAAGGTACTGGTTCTGGCGGGTTTATTGCTTGCCACGGCTAATTCTTCGCGCTTTTTGCCTACAGACGCACCGATTGATCTTACTAATGACGATGACTGCCTCCACGAACCCAGAGGACCTTTTAGCCGACCAAACAGTGATTTTGAACGCTCGCCGTCACCAACTTTAGTTGGGACCGCGGGGACAATAAACGAGGAGCATCAACTTGAAGATATTCTCGAAATTAAACGTTCGAGGAGAGTGGGGAGGAGCACCGAAATCTTGGTGCAATACGAGCACGGAAAACGCAAGTGGCTGGATGAACAGGATGTACAACAGCTAGTGGACAATTTCGGTCAAACACCCGTGCCGCGCAGCTCAAAGCGAGGCGGAGAGCCATTGGAGCACAAATCCAAGAAGCCGCGAGTACAATAAAGTCCTGCTTCGTGTTGCAATGTCGTGTTTCTATAAATTACATACTAGTGGCATTGTCAAAGTAAGCGTAGCTCTACTTCGCATAACGAAGCAACGAAGCTTTTCCGCACACCCCTGTCGATCGTAGTTACTCCCCGAGAGCTAATGCGCGGGCGCTTAACACGCAGCTGGGCTTGAAAACGCCATGCAGTTGGGAAGAGGCCCTTGCTTTTCCCTCCAGCCTTTTAAATCGGAACGATGCCGCCTGACGAGATTCGTGGGACGCAAGCATAAAACACTGGCACCGTCCGTCGTGGTCAGAAACTCGTTCCCTATTTTTCATTGTTAAACCCCAGAAAGTGGAAGCAATGGGTTCTTACAAAACAACTCGTGGTAAACGCCGGAGATCCGAGTCTCTAGATACATCTCAAAGAGTCGTCAGACAAGAGAGCATTACCAGATACGGCTTGCCTATTATAAAGCTGTGGAGGAGCGCCGTTCACTCATAACACACATATATAAAGGCCCGAAATGGCCTGGTAGTCTAGACATCATCATCATTCATCTATTTACGCCCATTTTGCGACCTTTCCTGTAGTGTTCCGGGGTTTACAGCATCACTTTGCTGTTCCGCTGTGTTCAGTAGAGACGCCACCCTATCGGTTGATTGGTCGCCTCTGAGATAAGGTGGACGGGGCGGGGCACTGACGTTAAACGTTCCAGCGCCTGACTATCTTCAGCACACAAACTGGTATATCCTGGCCCACCCACTCACGATCATCGGAAGATCAGCCACGCAGGCCGTCGTGCTACAGTCAGGACGTTCCTAAAGCGATCCAACACAGAAATGGACGGTGCCCGAGATGCTGCCCTAGAGAACCGATTAGTGAGCTCAGGAGCTCTACATGAGCTTTTGACTGTCGAGCAGGAGGTGCAGATTCTTCGGAAGCTTCTCCGTGGATGTACCTAGAATCGTCAAGTTATGTGGAGTGGTGTTCCGTATGACTGCGCTCAGCGATGGGCCAAGGAGCACGGGATGCAGACACTGAGTATGGCCATGGGTTCGCTGATGGATAAAAAACACCCTTCTTGCCTCAAATCGAAAATGTCGACGGACAGATGGAGCAAGTATATGAAAGGGGCCTCCGCTATCTTTGCCTACTATATCTCGCAAGGTGCCACAGTCGTAGTTTTAACACCACCTCCTCCGCACAAGTTTAATCCTTCGGGAAGGACAAACTACCAGGCCATTGAGGAGCCGATTCTGAAAGGAGCATTTGGAGGCAGTGCCGTATCGCGGATAGACATGGTGCACCCAACGGTCAGAGGTGCGGAGGATTTCTCATACCAGGCCTGGCCCGCGGATGAAACCTACATCTGGATTGCAGATTTTGGGGCCTTGGCCGTGAAAGAATCACGTTGGCGAAAAGCGCGAACGGTCATATCTCTACAGGTGATTACCGGGGAAAATGGGATAACTTTGAGCCAGCCTACCCTACAGAACACAGGCGTGGGAGATTTAGCACCTGGTATAAACAAGGTAGGGATGCTATTCCTTCGAAGACCTAAAATTTAACAAACATGAGGCTAATGCGGCTAGATAAGGGTATCACTTGTGGGAAGACCCCCAGCTTAAAGAATAAGGAGCGGACCAAGTCAAAAAAACAAATTAAAACCGGGAAAGCGAATAGTGCTAAGACGGTGCCTAAAAAAGGGGTGAAAGAGGAGAGTAAGAAAGCAAAACGAGAGAGAAGGAGGAAAAGGAGAAAAATGAAGAGGAAAGAAAAAAAAGCGGCAAAGCAACAAAGCAAGAGATAGAGAACGCACTGAGCTATTTCCATTCATTAGATCTTTGTGCTACCATGAAATTGCACGTGTCTGTTGACATCCACGGACACGGCAACGGAACGTTTCTCACCTCAGAAAGTAATGGAGATACTCTGAAGACAGTTCTCAAGTCAAGCTCTATCCCCAAGGTCTTTTTCGACGTCCGCAGGGACTCTGATGCACTATTTGCCCATTTCGAAACCCAACTATCAGGCGCCCAGGATATACAGTTGATGGAGCTTGCAACAAGAACGGGACCAAAAAAATATGTCAATGGGTTGTCACGGTGCATCGAAAGAGACGGTGGGCTCACTTCGGAGGAGCAGAGGCTAGGGAAATCGACGAAAGCCAAAGGGTTGAAGCTGTCTCTTCCTAAGCACGGTGGAAGCTACGAGGTTTTCAATCCGCGCCCGATATCTCCAGATATAAAAGCGTATTGCGTCCAAGACGTCCAATATATGCCCATGCTTCGGAAAATTATTGTTCCAAACTGACGCCCTGGTGGGCTCGAAAAGTTGAAGCAGAAACAAGGAGTAGGGTGAAATTATCAGAGCGCAATATTCAACGGAAAGGGGCCACATGGCTTTGAGCCCTTGGCCAGATCTTATGTTGGGTAGAAGAGGACAAGGGGGGGAGCACGGGTACTTTTAATGACTTACATTCCGATAGCCAACCCTCGGAAATTTCCAACCAGACCTGCTGGGAAAATCTTTAGGCTATTAGTAAATACGATAGGTTTAGTTAGCCTCTAACGTTGATGCGGCTTTGTTCATGATTTATATCAACCGCTGCACATGTATTAATCACGATAATTCCTTGGCTTTTGATTGTCAGAATTTGACTTAGAGTATCCCATCCAAGTAGCAGGAAAATGCTGGAAAGCCCAATGGGCTGTAGGAATGTATGGTAAGGGCAAAAATAGATTGGCATCGTAAACGTAGATACATAGGGAGCAACGCCGGGCCCAGCCTACTTGCGCTGTCTCTTGCGCCCGCGTTCCACAGATGGTTCTCTGTGTCGCTTTTTTGAGCTGCGGCGACGAGTTTGGGAGAGGAATTCGTTAATCAACTCTTCGCAGCCAGGATACACATCCTCCTCGGGTAGCCACTCGGCCTCTTCTCTGCCTTTGAATTTCACCTTAAACCACCCTGCCTCTTTTTTTTTCTTCTTGAGTGCCAAAATAGCTTCTACCTCCCACTCGTGGCTAATCTCCCCATCACGCTCAACGGAAATTGGTGACGGCGAGCGTTTGGACTCGCTATTTGCATAGCCAGAGGTTTCTCCAGGTTCATTAGGGCAGTCGTCATCGTCCGTTAATTCAATCGGTAGGTCTTCCAAGAGCACAGGGGGTTAGTAAGCAATAAATCAGCCGTAATTAGTATCTTACCGGCCGCATCACCGGGCTCCACGATAGAAGTTGCATTTGCCTCTATATCCATAGTTGTCTCGCTGGCAGAGTATTCGACGCCTGAAACAAGGGGCAAGGAGTACGGCGAGATAGGTTCAAGTTTGGTAATATCGTCGCGAAGCTCATCGTTCGATATGTTTTGCGCAGACGGGAACTGACGATGCCATGCGAAAATGCTTTCAGTAGGGAAAACCCTAACGTCATCGAGAATAGTGGGAATCATCCTCGGCATATTTCACAAGCCTAGCAGTAGCTGCGAGATTTTTGACTGTTGAACGAAGAGGGAGAGAGGGAGATGACTTGGTATTTATGCCTTTCAATGGAGACTGTGACACCCCTTCGCGAGGACCGTCGCCCCAAACTCGCGTATTTTCTCCCAAGAAGTTGCCACTTACCAAAGCCGCAGCACTCCCAATGCAGTGTATATGCAGTTCCCCCGTCGATTTCCAAGGTCCACAAACAGGCCAAGACACGACGGGTAGCGAATAATGCAGGACGCGCGGATCTGTGAATCTGCCCGAATCAGGACACGGGCTGGAGACAAGGGTAGGTATTCCTGTCACAGCCAGGATTTGTACATCGCCCCCAGCAAGCTCAGCTCATCCGGACAGTGAAGGGGGCCGCGTCATCCAGTATCTCCGCGAGGTCAGCATCGCCCATTTTCCCGTCCTCCGAGGGCTCGAGGACACCTGTCCGTGGAAAGTTTGGGCACCAGTCGGGTAGAGCATATGTGCCTCAGGAGGCGTGGCCTACTGCAACATCGAGCCTGCGGATGGGTGATTTATCGCTCCATTAAGAATAAGATATGAGGCCGTTTAGCAGGTAGGGCTAGTAGTGAGACAGGTATTGGTCCTTTCCTGGAGGATTAGGGGCTGTTATAGCTAACGCGAAGAATTAACAGATTAAAAGATAGAACTACCATACTATCTATAGTCGAGAAAGAAAGGGTTGGATGTAGTAAGTTATACTGCCTCATACCTATATATCGAAGTGGGTTCAACGAAACCATCGTATATGAATAGAAAAGGGTCAAGGTCAGATAAAGATTAATAAAAGATATGGCGTGAAAAAAGATAAACTGCGAGAATAAATAAAGTATTAAACTACAATAAAGAAAGAAAAAGATAACAAGGACAAGAAGAGGAAGTGGAGAGCTTTATATATAAATTTATCAGACTAATTACGTAACTAATGATTGGAATATTACAGATGGGACTTAACTTGGCGATAGTCCTGTTTTGGAAATTTTTCATATTACGTAAGTAGCAGTGTTTCAAGCGGTATATAAAGCGACAACAACTCTTGCTCCTTTTCTCCCCTCTAGCTCCTTATCCAGATAGAAGCTCTAGCATATGTATGTGCTTTTATCCACCGTTTATCCTACGAAGCAGTCTCCATCCTAAATATACTACCGTTCGCGACGTTCATGGCAATTTTTAGAAGCTATATATACCACTCTTTTTCAGCAAGTTGGACCTATTGTTTGTTTGAGCAAGTTTCATTAAGCGCTAATATCCTACCTTATATTTGATATTTCTAAGGCAATATACCCTGCTAGAGGCCTCTCAGGATATAAAACTTGTCTATAACCCGCTATCCATCGTCGAGGAAGAATATATCACCAAACACCACTTGGCGATTCTTTGGAGATACCTGGCTGCTAGCTAAGGGGATCTCCGGGGAGGAGCCGCTTATTCCTATTGCGCCGCGCCTCGTGGGTACCTATTACGGGACTGATCCACAAGGCCAAATCACATGACTAGGATAACTTTCACTAATACATATTTTTAAATGAGAAATTTTGCGCCACCGTCGAGGTTTTTCGCCGATATCGAGAAGTGGTTGACGCTGCTATATCAGATCTGAATGACGTCATGGGGACGATCGATAATTATAATGGAAACACAATGCAGTGTATTGAAACCTGCAACCAACTGGGTGGTTACGTTGAGAATTGTCGGGATAAGCTAATCGATTTTCCAGATAACACGCCCGTCACATGCGTTGCTGCGCTCGTCCAACCTAAAGAACTTATTAGGGGCCTAATCAACAAATTCACCCTACAGCCTACGGCGGTAAAGTTCTCACTTCAGGAACAAATTAAAACGGCAGAGTCGATGAAGAGATCTATCCGGAAATGTAGAGATATCTGTGAGGATGCCTCCAGGATAACCTACAATATTCAGGCTGACGAGGGTAACGAGGCTTTTTTCTACGATTGATGATCTTCTCTCTAAAGAATGGAAAACGCATGAAATAATTTTCAAAACGCTTGTCCAACTTTAGGCCCGTGCCATGAAGATATTGCCCGTTTTAAATTCTAATTCCTACTCGCATCCTGTGGTCCCTGTTATATTAAGGGTATGAGAATTATCCTAATACGCAGGCCTCTTCTATCGCGATAGCTTTTGGCACGTCCTTTGATGACGCAGCCAAATGAAGATCCTTTTAGGTATATAGGCTCAATATACTCTTTTTTTCCATTTCTCATTAAGGCTGTTTGGGCGGACGACCCACTTAGTAAGTACGCTTGCCCTTGCCTAAGCCTACAGCCTACAGAATCTTGACGCCTATCGAACCAAAACCGCAAGTGGGAGGGGAGTTTTTTCTGGGTAGATAAGTACCGTGGTACCTATCTATCTTTTCTAGATACGATAGGCTTATGAGAGTGCTTGTCTTATAAACTTCGTAGCGAGACGCAGATTGCCAGATCGAACTATGGTGGTGTTTATATGTATATACTTGAATTGACACAATACATTTACCTGTCTAATTCTGTACCGTTTACTTTTAGAAACCCAAGCCATTGTATAAGAACTAGTCGTTTCTGGTTAGATTATTTAGATTAGGGTCTGGAAACCAAACTTGTTATATGTTGATATGGAAGCCAATTTCGAGCCCAGCTGTAAATACCGATAGCTACTGCTGTGCCCAGTCTTGAACCAAAATGAAAGGGTGTGTGGAATTCTGTCGATAGACTCAGAAGCCGGAAAGAACTCATACAAGTTATATAGTATGTTCTCCAATCCAACCAGTGAGCCAACTCCATAAGTTGGTACTGTAATAACCATTTTGGGTGTCTAGGCCCTTATTCCCGGCAAAATGGGCGTACACTCGGTTGCACTCGGTTCCCTGAAATAAGACCCAAGCTGGAATTACCTGGTCAGAGAATGTGGGGTTATTGGCACTACAACCTACATAAGGCAGAGGCCCTGGACGTATAGATGTAATTCGTGGCTCCACTCGAGTCTTCTGTTATATACGCATCCATTCTATATAACCCGGAAAAGAGGTTTAACTCTGAAATTCCTTTATTGCAGTGAAACTCAACGATTTTTCCGAATTCCCAAACATGAACGGTAAAAAGATGTCAGAGCCTATTACACTTCAGGTGGGCGAAGGAAGATATCACACAACCGCCGGAACTCTAATAGAGAGGAGCGACTACTTCAAGGCCTACTTTTCTGGAAAATGGACAATACCCAAAATGGACGACGGGTCTATCTTTATTGACGGCGATTCCTCCTCGTTTGAACACGTCCTCAAATACCTTCGACGAGGAGTATTCCCGCTTGCCTTTGACGCGGCAAAGGGCCATGATTATCAACTCTATGCGGCTGTCCTCGAGGAGGCCAAATATTTCCAGTGCCCGCAGCTTGTTACGTGGCTAGAAGACAAGTGTTATCGTAAATGTATCACCTGGCATGACTCGACAGAACCATTTGAAGAGAGGATGTCGTCCTCTAGAGGGGATAGTAGTGTCGGGGATTGGAGTCTTCTACCGTGTGGTACTACTGAGAAAATGACATATATCTGCCCACGAGGGATTGGCTTACATAGAGGAAACCCTCAAGAGTGTGGTCGCCAATGCCGTAATGCTCAGGGCGACGATGATCCGAAGTATGACCTCGAAAAATTTACCTCAGAGTGGCTGGTATCCAAAACAACATATGTCTTTAACAGTGGATGGATGACAGACTCTGGGTATGGTATGCCCCATTCCCTGTACTCTAGCTGAGACTGACAGTCACCCCAAAGAGACTCTTTCCTTGAGCATGTGCAAACGAAGTATAGCGGCGGTGGTCGGCTTATTGGTCGTCCGCTTGGTGCTACGATGAATTAGGAAATTGCATCAAACGGGAGGTTGATCCGCAGACTAACTAGCATCAAACGAGTTGTGCACGTTGGCTTGCAGGAACGCCATGTCGACGAATTTCTTTGTTTTGTTCTTTGTCCGTCTGCCGGTCTCCCGCTCGAAACAAAGAACAAACCGCCTGGCAAGATATTGAATCTCCTGATGATCGACTAGGCAGCAGACGCATCTTCGTTTTGGTAATATTGCATGGAGTTTGCCCGCCCCCCAGAATATATATTGCACCATCTGGCCAGTATTCTGTAGGATCCTCGCAAAGCCGAATACAATCATTTCCCCGAGTGTCTGCCAAATTCTTTTCGCTATCCACAAGCTATCAACGCTAAGCCCATGGAATCCTCTATGTTTCTCTGTGGGTCGAGGAAATCCACGGCACGAAGAAGCGAGACAGCTAAATTCAACGACATCCGCCGGGCACAAGACGATCTCGAAATGGAGGATATAAAGATTATCAATAGGGCCGGTCGCGAACGCAATATACTATGGTAAGAATAACAAGTTGTATAACATCGATGATAGTCACGCAAGCTTGCTGACTCTAAGAAGCCCATTTTGCAATACCTTCGTCGATAGCGACTGCTATATCAGCGGCCATTTCAACTGGTGCACCTCTCACGAGTATATCGCCGATATTAATGGTGAGGAATCATGTCATTATGAAGGAGCCGGTGATGGGTATGGCTGCAGCATCGTTTATAGCACTGGGGGTTAATGCCTTTCAAAGAAAAATTACATCTTGTATTCAAATGTATTTGAAATTCGACAAGTCAGCTGCTCTTATCCACATCAAAACTCTCCTATCACCGGGGCAACATAATCGTGCGGGAAAATCAGCTGTCGAAAGACCCTCGGAGTGAAATGCCTGGTAAGGTGAAAAATATATATATATAAAGTCAATGCTTGCTACTCGATGGTATTGCTATGTACAAAGGCTAAAGGCCTAATTGGGGAGAGACTTGCTAGCACTGTTGGCTCGGGTTCTTGCTCTTTTAGTTTGTTTATTTGAACCCTGAGGATCCTCGACGCTGTCATTTGGCTGTGCAAAGCTCCACGCGGCATCATGGAACTCAGCTTCATCAGACGTGGCTGATGTATCAGAGTCCTCTTGGATGACAGTTGGCTCTGAGGTTGCCTCGCGTTCAGACGTAGACAGAAGTTCGGATCGAGCTTGCCTGTGTCTCTCGTTCACAGATTTGATAAGATCGTCCCGCTGTTCTTTTGCCCAATCCCGTGCATTCCATCAGTCTCCGATACGCATATTCAAAAGCTCGCCCACTGCTTCATCCGCCATAATGCCCATACAAAGCTTGGAATCCATTTGATCCATGGCCATTTCAAAACCCCAATCGACACAGTCATGCTCGGTACTAACTTTGAAAATCCTTGTGGTCGTTGGACCAAACCAAAAACGATTAACGAAGTTGACCTCAACAACGTTCACGGCCACATATTCGCCCTCACGTCCGCACATGACTTTGTCGCCTACGAGTACCAGGACGGCCCAATGCCCGATCTCTCTGGCATCGAACCAGCATTTTTCACCGAGTTGATCGCATATCTCATCGACAATAGATTGTCGGCTGTTCTCGGACTCCAAGTTCTCGGTGAGGCCATGCCTGTTAGGAACAAGATAACTAGTTAACTTTTCACGTGATGCTGCTGGACCAGGAAGCCGTCGAAACCAAGCCTTGAGCTTCATTCATCCAACTTCCAAAGGCCTCACGATCACGATGGACGATGCTGTACGCCCAGCTGTCAAGACACGGCGTGCTGTATTTGAGAAAGGCTTTCGTGTTTGGTTAAGCCTTTACAATATCGCTGACAAAGAGACGATTATACCCGAAAGTTGTTTCCAGGTTCAAGGGACATTTGCACATCTGCCTCACTTTCCTCCAGATATAGATCTAAAAGATCGCCATGGCAGTCTATATGCGAGGGGAACTTCGATTTGGTCAACACATGGACCCCGAGAGTTCCCTTTTCTTGAAAAAACTTTTGATATTCCAATCTCGATAATTAGCCCGACCGGTCTCACGCTCTCTTCTGACCCTAACCTGGACTATCGGAATTGGTTTGGTTGCGAAGAGGACCATATTTCCGTGCTTATACTCGCCTGGTCCTACATTCTTTCAGCTCGCTGGGCGGAGCTGATGTCAGGTTCCGTTCTGGGATACACTGGTAGCCAGCCAACCCAGAATGACGGCGACCAGGATGCCATTTTTGTGGATGTCGGCGATGTCAATAGCGAGGCGGCAAGGTGGTGGGCGGCTGTTTTGGCCCCAGGGGAGGGCTGGCGGGCTTGTATAAGTTCGGACGAGGCCGAATATAAATCCCCATGGTCGATACTATTGCAATCGGGCCCAGGCTTTAGGCTTCCATGCCATGGGTCACACCCTCCGATGTCAGCTGAGGCCATATCATCTGCCACTGCCCTTCATTACCTTTCGGAGTACTGCAACCTCCACAACGCTATGGATCAGAGCCACGCAGCACTATCTGCAGCTCTAATGCTTCCTCTCTCAAACTCCAGGGGGTACCAGATTCGCCTACCAACACCTAAGCTTAGATATGGAGAGAGTGCTGCATTGAAAGCGAGGACACAAATCGACCATAAGTGGCTACAGACATCCCGCCATCTGGACAAGCTACTTGTTCTAAGCTGCAGCACTAGAGGCGTACAGTCATTGCTATCCAGCGTCTTCTACGATCCCGGCGTAGCCTGCAATTTGGTTAGCCCATGGCTACAGGCTACTTTTGCTATCCTTGACTCTGTTGACGATAACCGCCTTGTACATATCATGACGAGAAGGGTTCCACGCCTTGCTTTTCTATGGCTTGGGGCAATTATAACGTGCGTCCATGGCGACGTTTTGCGAGATGCACGATTCGGTCTGATCCCGGTGGAACTCCACGCGGCTATGTGGACTGGAACTATCCAATCATTTATACAAGAGCCTATACCTCAGCCTCCAGCTGTGGGAGGCAGCATTTCACGCGCAAATGAGTGTCGGCTTCTGTATCTTATGCAGAAAGAATATCATACTCGTTGGCCAACGTGTCAGTGGACACCGTTTGGAGATACAGCCCTTGAGGATACTGATATGAGTGTCCGCTCTTATGCTAAGCATATTCGATGGGAGCTTATATATGTGGGGTGGAAATGGACCACCCGAGATGGCAAACTGGTTCATCAAGTCTGTGACAAGGGGCTTACACCGACTTTTCCCGAATCACCGCAGGAGCCACCTCATATCCCCATCAGTTATGATGCTCTTGATCTTGAAGAGGAGTCGGCGTCAGAGAATGCTACGCGAAACATATTTGGCTGGCTACGGTTTGAAGGGTTCCCCGGGAACGAAAAGGAAATATACAGTCACGAGTGGTTTGACCTTGGAGATTCGGACGAAGAAGCGTTATGTGGAATATCTGAGACTAGTATCGGCAACTCTTCTGCAGCAGCAGATGTGGAGGCTTGGATCAATCACAACGCCTTTTAATCTTCATGTGAAATCTCAATATGAGTACTAATAATGCCCCAGAATCTGGAACCGAGTTCCTCGACATCAACCTATACGATTTTGCAGTCCCTGTACCCAACTCTCAGCCTCTCCCCATGTCGAACGTCAATACCCCTTGAGGTAATCACACAAGTTCTCGAGAATCTCCCGGATTTGGACGCTAGTATGGTCTTAGGGGATAATCTGTTGGATTTTCCGTGGCAGGAAAGATTAGTTTCCTAATGAGGCAAATTGGGCAGAGCATTCAAGGAATACTGAAGGGCAGAAATACTATAAGCGGCAATTCCTAATGATTAAATTTCTACTCTGGGCCACAAGGACGGACTTGAAGGACTCCAGATTAGGAACTTTTCTCAACCCACTTTCCCAATCAGGCAAATTCGATCAAATTTCCTAAAGGTCGCTGGTTTATGGCTTGGTACATAACTGTAACACATCCCGGATTTGGTTTCTCTGTAATGGATCAAGCAATTCCCCCATTCCCCCATTCACCCTTGCAACCGCTTAACTAAATATTTCACCGGGGCGACGTTCTCGCTTCCTGGCTTCCCAACAGCTCCGCAGTAGTGAGTTAGTTCATGCCAAGATATCGTTGGGCATCCCTGCAGCGAAGCTTGCCACCCAGGAAGGAAGCATATAATCAGTGCGCTTGAACTTCTATGCGCAGAGTCAGGATGGCTGGCCATGTAAGAATGGGCGGCGTTATGGAGCCAACCTTCCATAAACTGGACAACTACGGCGATATTATTTTGGTCTTGGATAAGCAGGATGCTGCATATGAAGACAACGAGGATTTCTATACTCTGTTTGAGCTTCCTTCGCCTATAAACGAGGAACAAATTGAGGAGAACCTTCCAGACCCTTCTCTTTATACAGCGAAGAAAGGTCGTAAGAAAAAGGCCTCTGGCATGCTGCCTTGGGAGTATCGTATAGTCGAACCCGAGCTAGTATTTGAAGTTGAACCTGAACCCGAGCCTGAGATCGAACCTGAGCAAGCATTTGAAGTCGAACCCGAATCCGAACCTGAGCCTGAGGTCGAGCCAGCCCTTTACTGGCTAGGTGAGAGCCAGGAAAGGACGAACGCCGAGTCTCGTGCGCCGGCGACTGGCAATGAAGCGGACAAAGATGAGTTCGAAGAGATGGGCATTCAGGCCGCAGATAACTCGACTCCACGCGGCCTATCTCACCCTATTCAATTTCAAGTATCCTCTAAACATCTCACACTTGCTTCGCCTGCCTTTGAGATAATGTTGAAAAGAGCATGGTCTGAGGCACACACCCTTAATACCCAAGGATCTGCAGAATTACGCGCGCTTGGTACTACTTCGGAGGCTCTCCGCATTTTTCTGAACGCTGTCTATGGCCGCACGCATGATATTCCACGAACCGTGGAAGTCAGGCTTCTGTGCGAAGTTGCGGTTCTCGTTGATTATTATAAATCTTATGATGCCCTTCAATTTTATGCCGACACTTGGATTAAAGGCCTGAGGCACCAGTCGAGAGAGATGACCCAAGATAGTGTTAGATGGCTATGCATATCTTGGGTGTTTAAAAGCAGCGATATCTTCGAAAGCGTTACTGGGGTTTTCCAGCGCCAGGCAAAGGCTCCGCTTCAGGTCTCGAAACTTCCAATCTCGGGTGCCGTGATAGGTAAAGAATCACCCCTATAGCTCCGATGTTTGAGTGCTAATTGTCTCCCCCTCACCAGACAAGATCAACCAGTCAAGAGACGCCTGTATTGAGGGCATAATCTCGGCTCTACATGATGTAGTCGAGGACCTTGAAAGTGGGAGAACACGCTGCAGTTTCGAGTGCGACTCCATGCGCCTCGGGTCGCTGAGGAAGCAATTGAAATCCAGACGTCTTCTCAACCCGCGCCCATCAGGCCCATATCTCGGTTACAGCTTTTCAAGAATTTGTGAGAGCATTCGTAAGATTGGTATCCCGCCGTGGTATGGATACGAGAAATATAGTGGATATCAGCGGAGCTCATCTCCCCATAACTGTCGGATCGGGCCAGCTATCAGCTCGATTATTGACAACGCGGAGAACTCCATCGAAGATATAAAAATGGACAAATTTCTTGGTAAGCCGATTAACTAAATACCTGAGGTCTTGGAAGAATACATACTTGCGAGGTCGATGCAAAACCCCGCCGTTATTATACATAGGCCGGAATAGATGGCTTCCTTCTCCCTTTCTACTTCTTGCGTTGTTGTTTTGTTACTTCATTTTCTTGGTTCCTTCTTTTTCTATTTGCTTTCTTCCTCATTTTTCTCTTTTCTCTTTTTCTCTTCTGATTTTCTTTCTTTCTCTCCTTTTTTGCTTCTTTTCTCCCCCTGGCTTTGGTTGCGGCCCTGGTGTTGGTATCCGCCCTAGTTTTATTTCGTTTCTTTAAGTTAGTCCGTTTACCCTTTAGGCTGGGGACCTCCCTATGAGTAATATCCTTCTCCAGCCGTTAGCCTCCTATCTGTTATCTCTCGGGGAATGTACTCCTTCTACCTTTTTTATATCAAGCCCTAAATCTCCCACGCCTGTGTTCTGTATGGTACGCTGACCCGTAGTTATCCCATTTTCACCGGTAATTATTCGCAACGATATGACCGTTCGCGCTTTTCGCCAAAGTGGTTCTTTCACGGCCAAGGCCCCAAAATTTGCAATCCAGATGCAGGTTTCATCCGTGGGCCAGGCCTGGTATGAGAAATCCTCTGCACCTCTGACCGTTGGGTGCACCATCTCTATCCGCGATACGGCGCTGCCCCAAAATGCTCCTTTCAGGATCGGCGCCTCGATAGCTTGGTAGTTTGTCCTTCCCGAAGGATTAAATTTGTGCGGAGGAGGTGGTGTTAAAACTATGACTGTGGCACCTTGCGAGATGTAGTAAGCAAAGATGGCGGAGGCCACTTTCATATACTTGCTCCATCTGCTCGTCGACATTTTCGATTTAAGGCAAGATGGGTGATTCTTGTCCATCAGCGAACCCATGGCTATACTCAGTGTCTGCATCCCATGCTCCTTGGCCCATCGCTGAGCGCATTCATACGGAACACCGCTCCACATAATTTGATGATTCTGGGTACATCCACGGAGGAGCTTCCGAAGAATCTGCACCTCCTCCTCGACCGTTAAAAGCTCATATATAGGTCCTAGGCTCACCAATCGGTTCTCTAGATCAGCCTCTTGGGCAGTCGATAAGCCACTATCCATTTCGTCGGCGGATTACTTTATGAATTTCCTGCCTGTAGCATAACAATCTGTGTGGCTAATCTTGCTATGATCGAGAGTGGGTAGCCAGAATATATACTACCAATGAGGAAGGTTTGACATCTGACGTTATCCGAAGCAGTTTCGAAAGTGGGCGGGCCGTTGTAGGCTTTTATATAACCTGGTACTTTCAATCAATAATCTAACGATTTTGTTCAACGCTCCCCTTCTTTGCTAGGGATTCAATAAATATATACATACTGTAGAAACTGAGCTACCCGTTTCTGCCAGATGTTTTCTGTTGATCAGTGTGCGTGCTAAAAATAGTCAAGCGTTGGAGCATTTAATCCCAGTACCCCACCCTCGACCCCGCCTCATTCACCTGCTTGTTAGTCAGCAAAATCTTGCTCATTCTCCATAGTGCCCTTTTCTATTCTTCGAGTGATAATATTATTATGATGGTTAAGAAGAAAAGTTCACGCCCTTTGGGTCAGAACAGAACTTTCAAACCAGCTCCCTCATCTACCGCGATGGTAAGCTTAGCATTTTCTAGGTTCTGAAAGAGTTCTACGTAATCTTAAGTTCAGAGAAATGTAACTGATTATCTTGTGAAGTCCACGATTCCACAGTACAAGATGGAGGCCGAGAAAAATACTTATACGTTATCCGGTAGTCTCAAAAGGTATGGGACAACAACTTATAAATGGCAGGTGGTTGACTCTTCTAGATACTTTGCTTCCGGTCAATTCGCGGATCTTACTATTCGGGCGGACGGTGAGGTACTCAAAGTCCATAAAGTAGTTGTCTGCGGCCAGTCCGAATACTTTTCTCGCATGTTCAGCGGCGAATGGGAAGTATGCAGATATCTCGCATCTGTGAATCTAAAAAGCCTTACTAACTTCCGGCTGTTAGGAAACAGTTAATAATGAAGTTGAGCTTAAGGAGGTGGAGCCTGATGCTGTCGCAACTATCATCCGTTTTCTATATGGATTTGATTATGATAGCAGCGGCAGCAGTGGCGCTCGTATCTCTCCCATGTTATTCGATGCGCAGATATATGGGCTTGCCGAAAAATATGGCATTCCAAGCCTGAAGGAGCGCGTCAAGGAAAAATTTGCCAACTCAGTTCGCGCCTGCTGGGATATGGACGACTTTCCTCTAGTGATTGAAGAGGTCTATACCACAACCGCTTCCGCAGACCGAGGTCTTCGCGATTTGATAACTGGAACCTGTCATGAGCACTTCTCCGAACTCTTGCAGAAGGAGGGATTTATACGGGCACTAGAGAGCTGTATATACTTTGCAGCAGACCTCGCGAAGCAAGGGTCACAACCTCTGCCGAAGTACCGATGTCCCAACTGCAGTAAGGAGTGGGTATGCAGACCCATCGGGAAATACTGTATGTTTTGTGGGGCATCATACTCTAATTGGAGTAACTATGTCGTCAAAACATCAAATAAATAGGAATACTTGCCCCCCGCTTTACGGCACATTCCAAGGAACCAGGCTATAAATGGAAATTACTATCTGATTATTACTTTCAAATTACTCGATTAGGAATTGGGAAGTTGCCCAATTGGGTAAACCAGCAGAGCTATCGAAGGACGATTTCCTAAAGGGCAGAGACATTTACTCTAAGCGGCAATTCCTAGTTCGGTAATCGTACATGTTACCTAAACAAGCAATTAAACATGACCTAAAGCGGTAGAAGGGTTTCCTTAGGGGCTTTCCCAGGTTAGGAGTAGAAATTCCTGTTTGGGGATGCCCAACCCACATCCCTAACTAGGAAAATTCGAGCAAAGGGAAAATTCCCCGAAGAAGGACAGATAGAGTGCTATAACGGAAATGCCCAATGCGCTAATTATACATGGTTGTCTAAAAAAAATGGAGAGTGACTACAGTACAGGTGTTCTATCCCCGGAGCGGTACGTTGTGGGTTTCGAGGGTATGGAGCTTGAACGCCATGACGCTCGAAGGGAAGACGGCTATTCCATGCGTCCAGCAGAAGCCGCAACGCTTTGTCCCTGACGAGTACGCCTGCAGCTCCTCCCTATGAACGGTCTTTTCTACATGGTAGTAAGTCTCTTTGGATATAGGAATGTACATTGGTAATGGAAAATTGTATGCCTTCCGTTCCAACATGCATATTTGGTAGGTTTTCGAATGCCAGCTGTAGCATCTTCGCCACATCTCGTGCCGGCGAGCCATCCAGGCCCAATTGATCCAGAAGGTCGGCGAGGAGTTTACCTACAGGCAGGTGTATGGCAGGCCGAGGTCGCCCCAGTGAAGCCTCGTCGTCCCAGATACTCGTGAGCAGATTGACAGAGCTGAGCTGACAGCGCCGCAATCTTCCTCGCTCGGCAGTCCGTGCACAATGTGATTTAACCAGGTGCAGCGCAACTGGTATGAGCATCTCTTCAATCGACTTCTCTCGAGCCAGCCTCCAGGCATGCTCAAACACTCGCTGGGCAGTATCCATGGTCACAAGGTGCTCATCGATGATAGAACGTAGACCCGAGAGCAGTGTGGGGTAAAAACAATCGTTTATCGGGCAATAGTCCCGGATAAAAATTGAATGTATAATGGGAATATTGCTGTTCGACAAAAGCCTGTCTGAGGGGGCGACAGGCTTGGGCCGTGGAGAAGAGAGAGGTATAGTCTGGTATCTCTTTCAGCGTTGCCATGATCAGCTCGGGCGGCAGTGTGTTTAGGTTTGGCATGGTAAAAGTCGTGCTCATGCTTAATAGGGAGTAAACTGCGGGAAACACACATATGCTGGGGGCCGTGGTCTTGTATTTGGCTGAGAAGAAAATCGGGGGAATCTTGCCTGTTTATACAGGTTCGAACTCATCACGCAAGCATGCAAGGCTGTCTTGCTAGGGGCTGTGGCTCACCCATGCATGCGTAGCGTTCCGCAAAGCTCCAATTTTGGAGATCAGCGGGTATGCTCCTTGACGGGTCAACATTGCACAGGGGTGACAGCTGAAATTTCGACACTTCAAACATTATATCGAATTCATTTCTCTACGCTTGAGAAGCTCTTCGTCGGGATAGGAAATTCTAAGATCTGTAAATCAGGTTTGTGGTGAGCCTAGCTCTAACCAACCGACACATTCGCGGCCAGCCGCTTATTTTCTTGGGATCGTTAGGTATGGCAGCGGTAGCGGCGAACGGCTACGTCAACGTCCGATACATTAATTCCACATGGCCCCGTAGGTGCTGCTTGTGCTCCAGCTTGATACCGCAGAAAGGGCATTCGATCGGCCCCTGTTCTGGGAGATGGCGTAGATAGTCGTTCCGGAGATGTCTTGTTACCTCCTGGGGCCTTGCGTACATCTTGAGGCAGTGGAAGCAGGCGCGTGGCCGTTTGGTTTCCTCCTCCGCCCCAGAGGCAACCGAAACGATGTGCTCTCGAGCCCTGACGGCTTCACTCTTACGGGGGGCCTCCTCTGTCTTGGCCCTCTTGACGTCCACCTCTGGCGGCGGGTCGGGGGCAGCTCGCTTCGGCGGCCTCCCCTTCCGTGGCCCTCCCTCGCGCACGCTGCAGTAGGTGCGGGCGGCTTCGACGGCGGCGTTTCGACGCTTCCACTCGGCCTCTACGTCTTCGGAGACCGGCCACGTCATCAGCTTGTCGAGGAGGTCGACGAGCTCAGGCGGCAGCTCCATACCCAACGTCTCCCTCTTCTCCTCGTCCATCGCCTTCCCGGAAAGCTGGCGCTCGATGTCGATGACCGCCTGCTTCTCGTCAAACTCCTCACGAACCTGCCTGCGAAGCTCGTAAAGCCGCCGCTTCCTTGCATTTGTCACCCTTCTCTTCAGCCGGTCGAGCTTGTCACGATTTTTCCTTGAATCGTCCAGGTCGCGACTCTCGAAAGCTTCTAGCTTCTGAATGGCTTCCTGGACCTCCGGGTCCGTGCCGATTGTGGCCTTTAGCTCGGGCGGAACATCACGTGGACGCCGGCGGTCGATCGAGGCGCCCATGCGGCTCATCGCTCGTATCATTGCCGAGTCGCGGCCGAGGCCTCTCATCACCCGGTCCAGCTGGTGGACTTCTCGCGTGAGATAGTGTCTCAGGAAGGTGCCAATGTTGGCGTGGTTCATGATGAGGTTTTGTTCCGCTTCGCTGAACTCGCCTGGAGGTATGTCAGTCTCTGGTGGGACGTGGGAGCAGAAGGCTTGTTTGTCTCACCGCTTTTGTTGATTCTCGTCCCGCTGCCGTACCTGAAACGGCGCATGAACATGACTTCAAGATAGCCGAGCAGCTCGCCAAAATCTTTAAGTAGTTTACTCATGGTCCCGCTTAACATCCTTTTCTTCCTGTCTACAACTACCTTCGCTTTTTCCATGCTTACCTTACAGAACACGTAGTGGTCTAGTTTGGAGGGTTTGAGTGGAACATCCATCTTCTGTCGGTTCTTACCTATCGCTAGGCGCTGTATGTCATCCATCGACTTTAGGTTGGGCGCCTTGAACGCATCATCGTCGAGGAGTATGCCGAGAAGGTAGGTGTGGATGCTCAGCATCAGAGACGGGTCGTTGATTATCTCAGGGAAGACAAATGTATTTCTAGTCAGGGTCAGCTACCCACCGCGCGCCACGGCGGGTGGCTCGAGCCGTGCCCTCACCTACAGTTGCGCTGGGGGGAGGAAGGAAGAGAGGGTGGGAGGAACATACATCTGTTTCATGCCAAGATACTTCTTTGTGAACCGGTGGGTGGTGGCGATCGCGATCCTATGCCTGCCGCCGTCAGGGTCGCGCTGCAGGGAGACCTTGAGGTCCCTGTAGCGCAGGTGCAGGATGGCGCTCGGTCGGTTTACCGTGAAGCAGCCAAGCAGGAGGTAGAGGCAAAGTTGTATTCGTTGTAGTCCGAGGTAGAATCGTTTCTCGAACCTCGTAAGGACCGTCTCCTCGAATTCGGCCAGATCCTCTATGTACATCGGCGTCTTCTCCTTCTCCTGGTTGTCTAGATCGTACTTTTCCGCCAACTTTCTCTTGATCTGCCGGGGAAGGTCAGCCGAAGCCTGACCTGCAGCGGCGGAAGCGCGGGGAGGAAGGCGGGGGCGTGGGGAGAGGGTAAGCTGGAAGAGGGTAAGCTGTCACTTTACCTTTTTCCATTTCCGAATAAGCTGGCCGGCAAGTCGCTTCTTCCTAGACTTCTTAAAGTAGCGTTGAAAATATTTCCAGGCGGTTTCGAGAGCGCTGACTTTCTTGGTTCGCTGCAGTCTACGACCGCCCTTTCCCCTTTTAAGCTTCATGCGCCAGTTGAAGTATCGGTAAAGAAGGTCGTAGTCCAGTAGCCGCAGCGCCTCGGCTGGCTGCCACCATACTGGCTCGTCAGGGCGTTCCCTCCGTTTCATCCGACAGTACCTGCAAGGCTCATTAGCGGTGCTCATGGAGGGTTCTCTGACCTGCTCACCGCTTCCACATGCCCTCTGCTCGTTCGATCTGCTCAATGGTGGAGTCCGCATAGCCGTCACCGTCGTTAGACGACAGCTCGTCGTCTGTGTCGTCGTCCGGGTCCTCTGATTCCGTGTCGGACCCAGACTCGGTGGGTGGCTTGCGTGGTGCCCCGTTGCCGGGTGCTCGCTCTCTATGCACGGTGCGAGCTGGTCTTACGGCCCTCCTGCGCGATACGCCGTCGCCGCACACAGGCCGTCGAACCGCTTTTGCTGACTTCCCGGTTTTCTTAGAAGGCGCGCCTTTATCGTCAGACCGGTCAGAGAGATAGGGCGACGTCAGATCCGTGTCGGAGCCTGTGTTGGAGTTCGCATCGGACCCAGAGGCGCTGGAAGGGCTGAACGAAGCTGTGCTTGCTTCACTGTCGCTGCCGCTGCTGCCCTCACCGCTGGAGTCACGCCGACGCTGCCTGCGCCGGGACATTGGAACGGAGACGACGGGGACCAAGAACGTGGGTGGGCGTTAAGGGGATATGGTGCTCGCCGCACAGGTGGAGAGAGAGGTCGGTTGTGGGAATGGAGAGTCGGACGACGCATGGGGGAAGGTATCTTGAGCGATACTTGAAGATGGTATCTTGGGGGTATCTTGGGGGAGTCCTGGGGAGAATATATAGGAGCCGTCCGCGCTCGGCGTGGCAGGGGTCGATGAGCGATCCATTTTTGGCACTGGGGCAGAAAATGGAGTCTAAGGTGAAGGAGGGTGATTGAGCGATCGAGCGCACGAAGAATGGGCGGTTACATGCTAATTCATGTTCGACGTCGCGAGCGAAGCGTCAATTCCAAGGGTCACGTGAAAGTGATCGGTGGTGCGTGTGCGGTACTGGGGAAGGCCCGGTGCTTGCGCACACGCCCACCTTGCGCAGGAATGGCCGGATCTGGCCCGCAGATCGAGCCTCTTTCGGCCTCTTTGGCGTAAAGCGAAACGTTATGGTAGTATAAAATAGATATACTTAATTAATCTATTTATAATTATAAATATTAAATTATATTAAATACCTATTTATAGCTCTATTAATTTTAATAGTTTAACTATAAAGTCTATTACTATTAATTTCTATATTATTTCTTTATAGAGTATAGACTATAGGAGTTTATATAGTATATATTATTCTATTTTATTTTATTAGTAAACTTTATACTCCTAAATATATTATTTAATCTCTCTCTATATTTTTAACTAATAGTAGTTTTATATAATCTAATCTATAATTTTTTTAATTTTAAAATATTCTATAATCTTTATACTATAGTTATCTCTTAATATTTATAGTTATATTTCTCAAAGTATATATATTAATTCTTAATATAGAAGTATTTTATTTTCCTTTTTATATTTTTTATTATTATTTTTAATTTATTTAAATAAGGGGTTCTTTATTATTATTCTCTATATTTTATTTATTAGAGTATCTTTTTTAGTTATAACTATTTAAGTAGCTCTTAATACTTACTAATCTAAGATTATATCCTTAATATTTAAATCTAGATATAATATTACTCTAAATTCTCTTTTCTTTATTATTAAGTTTAGTTTTCTACTTAATATATTTGCGAAAGTGTTTTCCATTTCTTTATAATATTATATCTTAAAGTTATAGTAGGCTAGTACCTTAATATACTATTTTAACTATTAATAAGTAAGTTTCTTAATTATTATAAAGTATATTAGATTCTAGTAGTTACTAATAATTATAGTTAAATACCTTGCTCTTTAGAGTTCTTACTTCTATCTTTTAAATACTATAATAATTATTAGTAGCTCTTTATTATAAATATTATAATTCTATTCTATAGGGGTTACAATTCTTATATAGTATATAACTAATCTTAGTTTTTCTATATTATCTTTCTATTATAATTATACTCTAATTATATAATCTAATATATCTATATTAAGATAACTCTCTTTATTTAGATCAAAGTATATTTATATATCTCTTTAATTAAACTTCTTCTTAAATTCTTTAAATACTTATTTTTTATTATTTCTCTAAATAAACTTTTTTACCTTTCTAAATAGATCTATTAGGGGTTTTACTATTATTAAGAATTTATATATATATTATTAATAATAATTTACTAGTTTATAGAATTATTATATTTCTTTAACTATTATTAGTATAGGCTAATTAATAATGGCTTTAACCTTATCTAGATCTATTTAGATTCCTTTTATTAATATAATATATTCTAGAAACTTAACTAATTATTTATAGAATTTATACTTTAATACTTTAAGGTAGAGTTTATACTTATTAAATTTTTTAAATACTTATCTAACTTTTTTTATATAATCTTCTTAGGTCCCTTTAATAAATATTAGAATATTATTTAGATATACTACTATAAAGATATTTAAATATTTATATAATATATTATTAATAAATATCTAGAATATTATTAATATATTAGTTAATCTAAAAGGTATAATTGAGAATTTATATAATTTAAATTATATTCTAAATACTATTTTCTATTCTTTACCTCCTTTTATTTATATCTAGTAGTAGACTTCTTATATATTTAATATTATAAAGTATATTATTTCTCTAAATCTATCTTATATTTTATTAATAAGTGGTAATAGGTATTAATTCTTAATTATTATATTATTAAGTTATTAGTAATCTATATATGTTTATAAACTTCTATTTTTCTTTAGTATAAAGATAATTAGATAATTTTACTAGTAATTATAATTATTATATATATTCTTTTACTAAGTTATTATTAATATATTTTTATAATATTTTAAATTCTATCTTAGTTAATCTATATATAGGTTTATATATAGATATCTTCTCTTCTACTAGAGGTATTTTATAATCCTATATCTAATATTCTAGTAAGCTTTTTAATAGTTCTTATTTTTTAAATACCTTAATTAGGTCGTGGTATTCTTTTAGTATTTACTATTATAGTTTATCCATTTTAGTAGCTTCCTTTATTTAGTAAATCGTTTTCTACTTCTTTATTAATTAATTATTTATAGTTTCTATTATTTCTATTTTAATTAGACTAGGGACGGGTCGATTCAAGCCGAGTTTTTGGCCTATTCTACCTCAACTCAGCGGGTATCTATATTATTTTATACCCACGAGTTTACGTATCAAATAAGTTAAGTATTAATTAGATATATGTTAATTATATTAATCTTCTTATTTAGTTCCTAATTTAGTTAGGTTAGCCTATTTTTAGAATTCTTTTCTATTTATAAATATTAAACTAACCAAATAGAGTAATTTAAAGCTTAATTATTAATTATTAATTAGATTTTGGCTTAGTAATCAATATTTTAATACTTAGTTAGATATTTAAAGGATACTTGACTTATTAAAACAAATTTTTTAAAAAGGATTACCTGACCAGTAGCAACCCAATTGAGTTCGGTTCGGTTCGGTTCGAATAAAAAACTCGTACCCGTCCCTAGTCTAATTTTAACCTAGGGCGCCTTACTTAGTATTTAATTTTAATCCCTTTTTTTAGTATAGGTGGCTGTAAGGGTATTAGTCTTTTAATTAGAGTAGTGGTTTTTACTATTTAGTTATAATATACCGTTTTTCTAGTTAATAATTAGGTTATATTTAACTAATTAAAAGTATCCTAAGATTATATTATAACTTTCTAAGCTTATTATATTAAAATACTCTATTCCCTTATACTATCTTTTAATATATACTTTTATACCTTTGATTTCTTTATTAATTCTTTAGTTCTAGTTTTTATTAAGACCTTTTAGTTTATATAGTTCTTTCTTTATTTAGATATAAATCCCTTACTACTTTATAAATTCTAAATCTATAAAGTTTTTAGTAGCTTTTAAATTAATTAGTACTTGCGCGTTTAGCCCTACTAATTAAACTAGTATTACTAAGTAATTCTTTCTTCTTATTATAGTTAGATTTCTATCTATTTTAAATATTATAGACTATTAAAATTATTCATTTCTTAATATTCTAATTTATTAATTATAAGTTTTATTTTATAGTCCTTTAGTATTAGTTAAAGTCTAAATTTCCTTATTTAGTTCTTTCTAAGTTTATTTATTAAGTCCTTATCTAAATACTTTATTATTTATATTATTTAGTCCTTTTAACTTTCTTAGAGCTATAGTTACTTCTATAGATATTATATTATTTTTAACTAATATTTAGTTACTATTTTTCCTCTAAATTATATAGTATATCCTTTATACTATATAGTAATTTATTTATTTATTCTCTAGTATAGAACTTCTAGTTATTTATATAGTGTTATATTTTCTTAATTTATTATATTAATACTTTTTCTATCTATTTATTCTAAGTACTTATTAATATATACTAGGTATTTCTTATTAGTATAGTACTTTTAGTAGATATTCTTACTATCTCTATATAATAGATATTTTATATAGTTTTTATAGTAAAATCTTTATCTAGATTTCTATATTTCCTTAAAGGTATAATATTTATAATAATAGTTCTATCTATATTTATTATAGTATAGGTATCTAAGGTCTTTAACTTCTATCTATTTTTCCTTATTATATTTAAAGTATAGTTCTTTCTCTTTATATACTATCTAGTATTTATTAGGTATCTAGTTATTATATTTCTTTCTTTATTTTTATAGTAGTTTATAACTATTTTTAGATATTATCTATAGTACTTTATTTTCTTAGTTATTTATTTTCTATATATTTTTATATTTTAATTTAGTTTCTTCTTTTAAGTCTATTTATTCCAGTGTCCTAATTCCTTAATTTAGACTTATTACTATATTATATATTTATTCTATTATAGTATTTTATTATATTAATATTAGTTATTTTCCTTATTTAATCTATTTATTCTATCTTTATTATTTTTATTATTATTATATATTAGGTACTTATTTATATATATTATTAAATCCATTTTCTAGTGGCTATAGGTAGGTAATTTTCCTTATTACCCTAAGGTATTATTTAATATTCTATAAGTCTTAGTAGCCTCCTCTACCTTACTTTTTCTTATAGCTACTAGTTTTAGACGTAGTAGTAGTATTAAGGTATTTCTTAGTATCCCTTTATTTCTTCCTATAGTTTTTAGTAATATATCTAGGTTTTTTATAGTAGAAATATAACTTTTTATCCTTATATCTCTTATTCTTTTTAGTATTATAAGATTATTTTTTAGTAGTATTTAGTAGACTGGGGACGGGTCGGTTCAGACTAGGTTTTTGACCCCTTCTAACTTAACCTAGTAGGTATCTATATTATTCTATACCCGTGATTTTAGGTATCAATCTACTTAGATATTAACTAGGTATAAGTTGATTATACTAAGCTAATCGTAATTAATTCTATTTTACTCTAATACTACTTAGTTATCTGATATTTTAAAAATATACTATTAGCTTATATAATATATACTATATATAAAGTATATTATTTATAAAAAGTAAATATTAAGAATCTTAGTTAACTATAATTAATATATTAAGAATTTAATTCATATATTATATAGTATAAATATCTTTCTTATTATTATTATTACCTCTTTATTAATACTATATTATAACTAACTTACTAGAATAACTTATATTATTATCTATTTATATTATATTATAAAGACTTAAAAGGAATAGATTGTTATCTATAGATAATAATCTATTCCTATTTATTAATATAAAGAAGATTAGCTAGGCGCCCCTAAAGAGAATAAAGTAATATAATATCTAAAATTATTCTCTATAGATTTAGACTTATTATTAATTTACTCTTAGGCTCTACTACTATTACTATATAGATAAGCTTTTATATATAAGATAGCTCTAAATTATTAAGACTATCTATATTATCTTAGAATCTCTAAATTAGATAATATATAAGGTATATAAATTATATAAAGTTTATAGTTAACTAAAGGAGCAGCTATATATAGATATTATTAAGCTATCTATAATGGGAACATCTAGCCTTTAGTAGACTAAGATTAGACTATATATCTTAATAATAAGCTTGTCTATATACTAATTATAGAAAGTAGTTACTTATAAAGTTAGCTAGAATAATTAATTTTATAATACGTTTTACTTTATATATAATATTATATCTATATAATAGATCTATTATCTTAAAAGCTATTAGAATAATATATTATTTAAATTTAAAAAATAATATATATTTAACTATAGAATATTCTTTATTTTATTTATTATAAGGAGTACCTTTATCTTCTTCCTTTATTATTCTAGAATAATATTAGTGGTAGCTTTATTATAAGTAAAATATTTTCTTATCTATATTATACTTATTATTAAAATAGCACGTAATGTCTCTGTCTAGTAATTCTATATCTATAAATATTAGTATTATTAGTTTATAATAGACCTCTAATATTTATAGAGTATCTAGTAAGATAGACTTATCTATCTAGCTACTTATTAATTTTTTATATTATTTAAAGAAAGGGCCTTAAAAGTAAAAATTGTATTTAAAGAAAAAAGATAAATAAATCTTAATATTAGAATTTAGAACTTATAATACCTTCTAACTAAAATAGAGCTAAGCTATATTAAGGTTAGTAATAAATTAAAATATCTTTAAATAATATTAAGGTATATATTCCCCTTATCTATTTCCCCCTAATAGCGATTAAAGCTTAATTTTAGAGGGCCTTAACTATTTCTAACTTTAGCTATTCTACTATTTCTTCTAAGTATTATTCTCTTCTAATAAAATAAAGTTCTATTTCTATCTTTAGTTTTATATTCCTACTAAGTGTTAAAAGAATATACTACTTAATAAACTTATAATTAATTACTAAGATATCTCTACCCCTAACCTATAAAGTATTAAATTTTATCTAGCTCCTTAAAAGAGCTAATTAGTCTAATATATCATAGAACATTATTTTATTAAGAGGGCCGTAGAGTAATAATATTAATTAGATAAATAGAGTATTAAGTTAGATATAAATAATCTAATATATAATCTAAATCTACTTTATCTCTAGAGTTATAGTTAGAATTAATATTAGATTTATTATTATTAATATAGTTTCTATTAGAAGTATACTCTAGAAAATTATTATCCTTATCCTTAATATTAATATCCTTTAGAATCTTGATTTTAGAAGTCTAGAATTCTTAGATACTTTTTTTTAGTTTAAGGTATATTAAAAAGAGCTATAATATTAGCTTAGAGATAGTTATTAGATAAAGTTATTTTTAATAATAATAGTAAATATTATATATACTATTAAAAAGATCTTTTATCCCTATTAAAGAGGCTAAGACTATAAAGATATCTTAAGCTATATAATTAAGAATAGAAAAATTATCTTAATAATATTTCTAAAATTTAAGGATATCCTCTTTTTTACCTATAAGTACTAAGGTAATCTATTAATAGATATATTATATAAAGCTAAGTAGATGGTTTATCTAAATCTAAATATACTTTAATTTTACTTTTCTTTTAATTAGCTATTTAATATTTAAAATAATTAAAGGTATAATTATTATTATCTAATAGATTAATAATATAGCTATAGCTAGATATATCATAATTCTTTCTATATCTAATCTAAGTTATTCTTCTTTAAGTATTTAGAAAGAAATCTTTATACTCCTTAAATAATACCTTAAGTATCTTTTTATACTAATTAGTAAAAGGTGTATTTCCCTTTTTATTACTTTAAGCCTTTAACTTAAATAAAGAAACCTTTACCCTAGGCTATAAAAAATAGTTATTATTATATAAAGGTTCTTATAGTTATATTAAGTTTAAAAATAGTAATATTAGAGTTTTACTAATATTTATTTTAAACTTATTATATTACTTACTTCTATAGGTAATCCTTTTTTAGGTAGAGTTTTTATTTCTTACTTTTAAAATAAGTAAATAGTTAATTATAAATAGAAAATACTAGTTAGATAGTATTTCCCTTTATTTATATAATAGTATAAGTAAACTTAGTAAATAGCTAAATAATTTTAATTAGATATCTAATTTATATTTATTCCTCTATAGATAGTAGTAATATTTAATATTTTCTCTCTTATAAAGTTTAAATTATTTTATCTATATAGATATAGAGATTATAGATTTATAGTAGTATATAGTATATTAAATTCCATTATATTTTAATATTTTACTATAAAAGGAGTAATTTATTAACTAAAGGTGGCTAGGGGTTTTCTTTTTATAGCTAAAGGAACTAATAATAGCGTTATAAACTTTTATTAATATACTTTAATATAGCCTTAATCTAGTTCTAGTATACTAGTTAATATCTATAAAAGTATAGAGTTATTATCTATAGATAATAATCTTATAGAAGAGCCCTTAGGTAAGAATATTAATATACCTTTATAAAAGTATTATTAACTTTAGAAATTATCCTATTATTAACTTTACTTTATTTAACGATAAAATGGCGAGCAACTGGCCAAAAGCGGCCTGATCTGACGGCCGCATCAGGCTAGAAACTTGCCAGAGTTTCGACCACGCACCCGGATAGGTACCGTACACGCACACCCTGGTCAGGTACTTGGCCAATCAGCCCGTGGGTCCCCTTCCCATCCCTCCCTCACTAGGAGAGAAGCGTCAGCGTTATTCATTCACCCTCCTTCTAGCGGTTATATGCTAATTTAGTAGGCGACTGAAATCTGGCTCGCAGTCAGAAATGGAGGACCTCGCACCCAGGCCCTGGGGGCTACATTTTCTGAGTGACTGCCTTGTCTCTCCGCGCTCACTCTACTCCCTAATACCCTCTCTCTACATGTATGCGTACATACCTACCTTCCCTTCTCCCTATCTAAACATCCGACTCCCTAAAGATACCACCAACTCCCTCTCTTTTAGGAGGGCACCATGGCCTCCCACAACCATCCAGATGGCAATAACACTGATGATGACAGCGACTTCGATTTACGTGAAGACTGCTTCAGCGACGGCGAGAGCGAAACAGATGCTTCATCCGCCTCCGACTACGGCGCTGACGCCGTATCGGACAAAGGTCGCAGCGAAGAAGGTGAAATGGACGAAGAGGACGAGGACGACGCCGGACGCTGGCTCCAGAACGAGGAGGAGCAACGCCCTCCGGACTATTACCTCCAGGAGGAAACCGACTTCGACCCCTCCACTCTTCGAACGCGGAGGTACAGCCCAAACACACAGTTGAGGCTAGATTGGGTTAAAGAACACTGGGAGCGGTAAGCGCTGTGTTCCTACCGGCGTCATCGTGGTGGCTGCTGATGTCATGCTCTTCTTCTGTCTTCGTAGATACTGAATATTCATGAGCAGAGACCATCAGCATAAGTACGATATCCTGTTAATACGATCCCTAAAAGCCTTCCTTAGCTGGGTGTGCGACCAGCGTTGGGGTAAGGATGGTAGGGTAAGGCCTGGGATTAGAACCAAGAGTTCCCTATATATATTCTAGAAGTGGTATATACTTATCTACAAAGTTGAAGCTGGTAGGAGAATAGATAATATGATTATTAGAAATGCTTAAGATATGAGATCTCGTGGCCCTAGGGTATAGTGAAAGACGGCTAACTCGTAAGCAGGTTATAAGTCTTCTAGTTAAGGAGAAAGGGCTTAGCATAGAGAAACATAAGAAGGCGACAATGTATATCTAGAACCTTGTAGAGCTCCTCCGAGTGCTACTAGCGACGACGCACACGTAATTTCTAATTGGCTGGCTTTGTATCTAACTAATCCTCTACTATTACCTTACTGGGTTTACTTTGAACCATCTAATGGCGCTCTTAATGCTCCGCTACTATGATCTGACCCTAACACTGGTCCTAGATCTAGAGAGTGGGAGACCTTGTCTAGTTATTAAAGTATGCGCCGAGTTCATGAAAAAATATTTAGATATAAAGGAAAAGTATATGGACACTGCGTTGTCCCTTCCTAGCCCCTGATATTACTAACTAGCCATCTATAGCAGAATCACATTTCCTATTCCTGAAGTCATCTTTGATCCTACTCTTATCCTTAGCCCTTATATCTTTCTACTAGGGATATTATTCTATATCTAGGTATTTAAGTCCCCCAGTATTTAAGGACTAGAGAGCCTTTACGATATTGGAATTCTTAAGGGCCTCCAGGAGTAAAGGCTATCGCTAAAAGACCATATACTAGACTAGTTTGTCTTCTATTAAGTGGTTAAGAATAGAGATAGTACTATCACACTACTTCATATAGTGCATCTGATAGGGGGTTAGCTTTGATATTGCCTAAAAAAGGCTAGTGAGATCACCAGCTTTGAGTAGGTGGTGAAGCCCTATATGCTTCGCAATGGTGCCGCGAAGGCGTACAATATAAGCCGTGAGTGTCCATCTACTTCGCAGCAATCAAATTGTACCTATTTAACAGGATATCACAGTCGACGTCACCGACTCCCTCCAGTGCATGATACTCTAGCATCGCTCCACCAACACGTATATCAAGCACTACCAGGACCGGAACGTCACGGTCGACGTGCTCAGCATATACCGCGGGCTCAAGCCGCAGAAGGCCCTGATGGACGTGCTTTGCTTGATGAGCCAATCTATTGACCCCTGGTAGCTATAGAAGCTTATAACCGCGCAGTTATCCTCTATAAATAAGAAAAAGTATATTCGAGGACTTATTTAAGAGAGGAATTATATAAAGAAGGAATATAATCTTCTTCTATTAGGAAAAGAGTTTATAGAACTAGATCTTTAATATTATAAGGCCAACTGTAATCTCTATAACGCACAATAGAGGGCAAGGCTTCACCTAAAGCGCCAGGTAATTAAAAAGTATTGAAAGGAATAGCCTATTATTGACAGCGAGCGCCAACTGTCTGGGCAGATGGTTGATGAGGAGATTAAGAGTATATTAGAAAGGAACAGATACGTGACGCCAAAATATATGCACCTCATTGATTCCGTAATGACACTACCAGAGACCACTTGGGAGAGGGAGACGAAGCGCCGGATAAAGGTGATACATGCGATCATAGTGTACTGTGGGGTCCTCGAAGGTTCCGCCCGTGGTCGCTGGTGTGCACCGCTGGCGGAGCCTATCGAGCCCAAGGTCAGCGTTCAGACCAGCGTTAGCGCACAGATTGTACGGCAGCCACTATCCGTCTCACCACTCGAGAGAGCGATCCAGGAGATCAACATAGTAAAGAGGCCAAAGATCTGCTTTATCTGCCTAGGAAACAGCGCGATTAAGGAATTTAGCAAGGTTGGTGACCTGATGAAACACTTCCAGAGGGTGTATCTGGACAAGTTCAGGATAATGGCATATAAGATCTGTAACGCGCCACTAGACACGATCGTAGACCTCTTGTTACACGCAGAGCAAGCGCACGGGACAGTGACCCGGGCTGCCAAATATCGAACTCATAGTGCTGGTGCCCGAGTGGGAGGTTATTTTGCAAGCCGGATTTTTGTTGTCGCGTAGACCGAAGGATTTCTACTCTTATTATTCACTATATATATAGAACAGACATATAATTTGGGCTGCAAAAGAGAATCGCCTCCCCGCGGTGCAGCCTGGGTACTGGAGAGATGCTCTTACGATAGAGATCCTCTTGCTAAATGATTCTCATGGTTGGAGGTGCGGTGGTGGTAACTCGCCTGATGAAGTCAGTGACAAACTGCTTTCGCATAACACAGGACTGCCAACCAAATAGGTATGAAAACCATCCAACGGGTAGCTTCAATCTTTAAAAGGGACCAGATTCTAAGTAGGGAAGGTTATCTTAATAACTTGACTGAAAAAGATGCCTAGAGGCCATCTGAAAGGACACCTGTGGTGGTGTGCAGAGTTTTTACTTAGAAGGAACGTGATGCCCTGTGCTCGCGTATACCCCAAAATCAATAACAATACTTCGATAAAAGTTAGGTGCGAGGGCGTCGTTAAGGGAAAGGCGAAATAAGGATGGGGTTGTAAGTTGCAGAGCGTCGTTAAGGGAACGGGAGGAATGGAGACAGTACTTGGTCGCTGGGAGGCGGCTGCCTTCACCGGTGCAGCGCTCGGAGGAACACTACCACGGCGGAGTGGCCTCTTAGGAGGGATATTAGTAGGATGGCATACTCTGCGAACGAAGTAATAAAGGATATTCACCCAGGTACGCTAAACTAGGCAACCTGGCTTATACTCCTGCTACCACCCTCCGGCGATCGAACTACGGTACCTACAAAGGATTCCAAACAAATGCCACGGAGAAGCTAGCAACTCCCTATGCAAATGGAGCTGGGACTACGGAAAAGCTGGCACTCGGGGCTTCAACAGCCATCGGCTAGAAGTTGCCTGCGAGAAATCGTGGGCCCGCCGCCCACCCTTTACCGTCCACAGAGAGAACAGGGCGTACTTCGTATGTATTGGTCAAGTGGCTGACGCGTGTCTGACCCGTGACAGGTTGTTGGCCGGCGGGGATTTCTCATGTCTCTTACGCCGTAGTATATGCGCGACTCCAACTGGCTGGGCGTGCTACTGGGGAAGAAGGCGAACGACAGGAGCTAGGCGTTGGGCTGTAGGTACGGTTCGTATACTGTTTGAGATCGCTGTGGCGTTGGAGACGATAGGGACAATGAAGCAAAGAAGAAATCACAACGCCGCCGTCCCGTATCAGCAACGGGAAAGAAAGGGATGAGGTTTCGAGCGAATGGGGAGGGGCAGAAGCACGCAATTAGAGAGAACGATGTGCAGCCCAGCGCGCTAGTAATAATGGCCAACGACCAGGTTACTATATATATCTCTCTATATTGGCCCTTTTTTGGCTGTTGGGAGCTTGCTTGCATGCTGATTGGGCGCGGGCCTAGTCTCACCCTGGAGATAACCTTTTGCCATTTTTAGTTAGACTCGTGTCCGGAGTTGGCCTTGCATACAAATTTACTAGATGAAAAGTATTGATCGTGATTGAAAGAATTAAACTGTTATCTTGAATATCTCGGCAAACTACTAGCAAATTAGTACAATATTCATTCAGTTTCAAAATCTATAAAATCACAGGCCTTTAAACATTGATTTATAAACGTGTTGCTCTATAAATTGGCTACGCTGATGGTGAAATTAATAGTGAGATTGGTGGTAATATTGGTGTAATATTGGTGGTGAATATTGCTGTGTACCATATGTTTGGCTAATTGATCCATGCCCAAATAGGTAACAAGGTATAAGCAACATTCTTACGATGCGAAATCTGTATAGAAGGCTATAATGAGACTACTCCGTACATCAATTTTGGCAGTTGTCCCCTCAGCCAGTTGAATTTAATTACCTAACGGCTAGCGAGGTAGGGTGGGAGCCCAAAAAAATGACATGCATGGGTGAAAAGCAAAGAGGAGAAAAGTACGGGATCCCATACGGGTAAAAACTTTGGGTGGCAAGAGATGAAAAGGAAAACAAGATGGAAACAACAGTAGAAGGATTCGGAGAAGTTAGGTGATGAATGGCCCTGTCAGAGCGCGCGCTGGGAGGGCTGAAACGTGAAACGCTGCCGAGTAGCTGCAAAATATGTTTCTGGGCGGATTGGGATTGGACTTCTGATGACTAACAATAATACAGTGACTGCAGGAACACACATAACGGCGGTGGAGAGAGAGAGGCAATGCTAACAGATCTTCATCTGATGTTGAATTGACTATTCCCTCATGGAGTAAATAAATATAAGACCCTCTCCAGCTCGCCATGTCTCCCTTCATCGAAAGGCCCAGCATCCTCTTGACCATCCCCATTGACCATCCTCTTGACCATCCCTTCGGATAGTACACAATCATACTTCAGACGCCGACTTCTCCTAAGCCATGTCGTCCGTAAAGCCCTCGTACAAGAGCCTCATCCGCCAGAATGGTACGACACCTAATCCATACCTTCTTCCCTCCCCTTCCACCTCCACTCATTGTTGAAGCACATGCTTACTGTCTTTGACTGCAGGCTCCTTCGCGCCGGGCTCGCTTTCAAACATCAACCAGGGCGCCAGGTCCTCTCCTTCCATGGAGGCACAGCCTGGCAACATCCCTCCCAACGACAACGACAATCAAACGGGCCAAAACGCATCCGAGAGCAGTGCTCCTCCCACCGGCGACATGGCTCAAGACCTCAAAGGCATGGGCAGTTGGGCGGGCAGGGGTTGATCTTGGGAGAGAAGCTTCCATCAATCGATGACTTCTCATCACTTCTTATGATTGTGTGCATATTAGAATCTTCTCAACTCATGTAATTATACCACCCATGGCTGGATCAGAGGGGGACAAAAATGAAATATACATTATAATGGCTTATTACCCAAGACCTCACCCATATCCAAGAACTGGCTGAAGATCTCCTCGCCTGCCCGCCCCTTTCCATTAAAGCTCACCCCCTCGCCGCGCAGCAGCTTCGTCTTCTCCACCGTGTAGAATCCCCCGTTGCCCCAGCTGCCCTTGTACCCGCCGATCGTGCGGTCAGAGGCCAGCACACGATGACAGGACACCTCCGGAGCAAACGGGTTAGTCTTCATAGCGTTACCCACAGCCCGGGCAGACGAAGAGAGATGGGCTGACAGGATTGCGTAGGTCGTCCACTGGCCATTGGGCACGGGGAGGAGGGTACGGTACACTCCTCGTCTGTAAGGGGTGAGTGACGGGTGGGATGAGATGCGGTCCAGCTGTTTGCGCAGGAACTCAGGGTCTTCGGATGTCAGGGCAGAGGCGAGTGATGATGCAGGTGGCTGTTTAGAGATCTGTGCAGTGGATGAGAGGGTAGCTTGTTTCTTGCTGGCTGGCGCAGCGGGTATTGATGAGAGCTTCCGCTTTGGTCTAGTAGAGACTTTGGTCACCTTGTAGTTCTGGCCATGGCTGGTCGTCTCAGTACGGAATACAAGGATGTTCTTGGGTCAGGTATTGGGTATCTTTAGTGAAGTGATTTATAATGCCTTGAGACGAGCGAGATGCTGGTCCTTTATGGCTTCCTTTCCCTTGTCGCTTCGCGTCATCGCGTCGTGTTTGTCGTAGTTGTGGCCAATCACGACGTTAGCGTCCCCGAACCCAGCCCAAGGTGATTATGTAAGGGATATTGGAGAGGTACAAATATTGTCAGAATCTTCGTGTGTACGGCGTCTTGGCAGTATCAGGCCAACGCCACTCCCCCCTGCAGATCTGTTTGATTACGGCTCGTACGTACGCTACGCCTTCCCCCATATATAGAGGCCAGATATGGCCTGTTTCCCTAGTTATTATCATCATTCATCGATATTAGGCCTATTTTTCGCTCTTTGCTATTGTATCTTGGGCTTATAGGCATTGATTTGCCGTTCCGCTGTGTCCCGTAGAGACGCCATAATCGTACCGATCATTAGCGCGCTCCGATAAATATTCATTCGAATATTAAGATAGAAAAAGCTACTTATACCTCCTGTCGTATTCATAGCCATAAACATATTAATAATCAAAGACGTTCCCGGACCTGGAGATCCCAGGACGTCTATAGATATTAACATCCCTATAACAACTGGCCAACACGCAACGCGGAGATGACGATTGCCCGTTGCATGAAAATATGCATGTATTGTGGCAAAGACTTCATACAGGCGGCGGCACTGCGCAAGCACATAAGAGTTAAGGCAGAATATATTCAAAGAAACCTGAGGGTGCGATTCGAGACACGGGGGAGATGGGGTAATCCCACCCCTGAATGGAGGCCTCGTGAACCCAGGACCCGATTAACCCGGAGCCAGTCCCCGCCCCGTCGCCGACCGAGGACCCGTGTATTCAGAAGCCGATCCCCCATAGATAGTCCCGACACAGCGTTACTCCCATGTTAAGACACCAGGGACTACGCATCTTACAGTACAATGTCCAAAAGTCAAGAGATGTCGTCCTCGCCAGCCTCTTCCGAGACCCTCAAGTCCTCGAATACGATATCCTGGCAATACAGGAACCCTGGCGAAACCCATTCATCTCTATATCATACCACCCCCTGAAATCACATTTTTAACTAACCTACCTCAACGACGCTGCCACAAGGGTGTGCTTCTATATCAACAAACGGATCAATCCGGGCACGTGGAGCGTATCATACCTATCCAAGGATATTATCTCTCTAGCTATTTGCAACCCCTCCTCCGACAGGAGTATCCACATATTTAACGCCTACAACGAGGTGGGAACCAATACCCTCTCCACACTGGCCAGTGCCATTGACAGGCTGGAATCCTACAGGGAAGTTATAATACTGGGAGACTTCAACTTACATCACCCACTATGGTCGGCGGCACGACCGCGGGCCACTTACGGGCTAAGTACCTGAGATCTCCTCACAATTGTCGAGGATTTCCAGCTCCAGCTCCTCACGGTGCCTGGAACCACGACCCATCGCTGGATGGGTGGCGAGTCAACAATTGACCTCACCTTCGCGTCCGAGGACCTGGCACCCTACGTAATCTACTGCAAAGTGGACAGAAGTCTGGACTATGACTCTGACCACCTTCCTATCACCCTGGCCATCGACTGGAACTGGCAGTTAGCAACCCCAACTAGGAAATGTCTGTGGGCAAAGACAAACGTAGAGTTACTCCGAAAAACCGTTAAGAGACACCTTCCTAAGCCCTGTAACGCATTGGAACTCAGAGATGAGGACAATATCGATAAACTCATCTCCTCCATCGTCAGCGCCCTAGATACAGGTATCGACGCATCAACCCCTTGGTCGGACCCTTCCCCCTGGTCAATCGCAGGATTTGATCAAGGATGCAAAGACATATGCAGAGAAGTCCAGCAACTCCGCCGGAGATGGCAACAATCACGACAAGAAGACGACTACGAGGCTTACCGACAGGCGCGAAATAAGAAAGGTCGCCACATCCAAAAGACCCTTCGGAATACCCATCGGCAGCGGGTCGAAGAGGCCTCCGCAACGCAGACGGGACTCTGGAACCTGGTCAAATGGGCGAAAAACAGACACGACGTGACTCCGGCATACACACCAGCACTGGTGAGAGCAGACGGGGAGCTGGCCTACCGGCCAGAGGAAAAGGCAGAAGTGCTCCGTCAGACGTTCTTCCCACCACCACACCAAGCGGACCTTTCAGACCTCGAGGGATACGAATACCCTCCACCCATCGAATGCCCAGACATCACCACGGCGGAGATCGAAAGAGCAGTGCGCAGGGCGTCTCCGAACAAGTCCCCGGGCGCCGACGGTATCACCAATGGCATCCTGCACCAGACACTTGACATCCTTCTCCCAAGCCTCTGCAAGCTCTTCAACGCATGCCTCGAGCAGGGATACTGCCCTAAACACTTCAAAAACAGTATCACGATAGTTCTCCGAAAACCGGGCAAAGACAACTACACACAGCCCAAATCATACCGGCCAATCGCCCTTCTTAACACGTTGGGTAAGGCCTTGGAGGCCATCATCGCGAACCGACTAGCCTACATCGCCGATGTCTACCAACTCCTCCCTAGTCGACACACCGGGGGGCGGAAATTGGCATCAACAGAACATGCTATGCATTTCCTCCTCCAAAGAATACATAAGGCATGGTCGGAGGGCAAGGTGGCCTCTCTACTACTGCTTGACGTTTTGGGAGCATACGACAACGTATCTCAAGAACGGCTCTTGCACAATCTCTGGAAACATCGGGTCAGTCAGAAGATCAGAGGCTGGGTAGCATCCTTTCTCAGTGACCGCTCCACGACCCTTAAGCTGCAGGAGTTCACCACACCCTTGACACCTATCCAAACGGGAATCCCACAGGGATCGCCCGTCTCGCCAATCCTGTACCTCTTCTATAACGCCGACCTTATTAAGGCGTGCAAATCCGAAGACACAGAAGCGGTGGGATATATCAACGACGTATCAATTCTAGCAGTGGGCCTGACGGCACAGCGCAATTGCAAGACCCTCAAAATTATCCACCGGAAGGCGGAACTGTGGGCAGGAAAGCATGGGTCCCAGTTCGCGCCAGCAAAGTACGAACTCGTCCACTTCACACGGGACCCAAAGGCGAGCAGAACACACGCCCTCCGCCTACCGCATGCCACGGTTGAGGCTTCCCCATCATGCCGCTACCTGGGTATACAGATGGATACTAAGCTTCGGTGGGACTTCCACCGCGACAAGGTAGAGGCGGGAGCCACAAAACGGCTCTCAGCGCTAGCGGCCCTAGCATCCTCAACCTGGGGAACAGGGAAAATCAACCTCCGGCAGGTATACAGAGCGATGATAGTACCTCAAATGCTCTATGGCTGCTCCGCCTGGCACATCCCCAGTAATGGATACGGAGGCCGAGGCAGTGCTATGATAAATACCATCAAGAAGATCCAGAGACGTGCAGCCCAAATCATCACTGGCGCGTTCCGGACAACCGCCGGAGCGGCAGTGGATGTGGAAGCACATCTACTTCCGGTACAGCAACAACTGGAGCAAACAGCGCTGGAAGCCGCAATGCGCATTCGGACATCCCCGCTACACGAGGACATGGCCGCATCCAGCGGCAACAACAGCACCACGGGACGAAGACGCGATGCGCAAAGTCCCCTTGGCAGATTCTCGAGCATCCTGGAACGCAAGTACAAGGTGCAGCTTAACCGACTCGAAAAACGCCTTTCGCACGTTATACCACCGTGGTGGACTCCCCCGTTCGTCCGTATAAACGAATCCGCCGAAGACGCAATCAAGGAACACGACGCCATGGAAGCTGCGAGCGTCGCCCTAAACCTAGGAATAGACACCGGACAGCCTCCAGAGTCAGACCAGCTACGGATCTTGATGGCAACCACGAAAACCGCCATTCGCCAAACGATGAAACGCGAATGGGAGACGTCTTGGGAAAAGGCCAAGCACGGCAGAGACCTCCTCAAACTTGGAGTCAGGCCGGGAAAAGCGACACTTGACACCCACATAGGAACACACAGAGCGATCAGCTCAGCGATCACGCAGATGCGCACAGGCAAAATCGGCCTCCGCGCATACCTCCACGCCATCAACAAGGCCGACACCGACAAATGCCAATGCGGATACGGACCACAGACCGTGCGACATGTCCTCCTGGAATGTCGAAACTGGGCGGTCGAAAGACATCGAATGTGGGCAGGGAAACTTCCATGCGTAGAAATAAAGCGCATTCTCTGCAACCCGTCAATGGCGGTACAAGCAGCCAAGAGTTGGAACCCTGAACTGATATACAAGTGTGATGATATTTTCTACTAACTATCGGGAGAAGATACAACTATTTATACTTTTTAGACAGGTGGCTGCCTAATAGGCAGCCACTGTAGTAGAGTGTATATCACGTGACATGGGATTCAACTCCAAGATGATATTGAGCACGGGGCTCCTTGGCCAATTCCAGGCTGTCCCATCTACGGTACTTCAATATAGGTAGCGCTAACGAGCAAAAATGGGAGAAGAGAAACAGTACAAATAGAGAAACTATCTGGTAGACGGAACTTCAGGAAGATCAGGAAAGGTCTGACAGGTACAGAGAGACAGAACAAATAGGGAGACTATTGGTAGAAAGGGAAAACACCTGTATCATAGTTGTACGCTGCATAGCTGCCGATATGTTGAATCCCATGTCACGCGATATATACTCTAATAAGAAGTGGCTGCCTATTAGGCTGCCACTCTTCTAGAAAGTATATTGATGAGTCACTATAAGTATAAATAGCCGTATCTACTCCCATAGTTAGTAAATAAGACTTATCACACTTGTATATCAGTTCAGGGTTCCAACTCGATAGGGCGGCTGGGACAGGCTATGAAATAAACAAACAAACAAACAAACCGAGGGCGCTGGCACATTGAGGGAGTGGAAACATTGAGAGACACTGAATATAGGAGTGCAGAAAGTATACGCTTATCTTGTGTAGCCACTCCCCTTATTGGACTGCTACTGACCTTATTCAACCACTTATACTATTTAACCGCTTCTCTTATCCAATCAGCCACTTCATATACTTAATGTGACCGGCGAGGTGACAGGCAATTAAATGTTAGAAAAGAGGGAAGGGAAAATCAGAAATGCAGGAATGCAAAAAGGCAGAAATCGTACAGATCTACGCGCTCACTAAACCTGGCTACGTGACGGCTATGATATAGCTGGCCACCTCCAAGCCTTCGATCTATAGAGGATACGGGAATGGGGGCGTATGGCTCTGACGGCCCATCGTCCATCGTAGGCATAAGTCGGCGGCTCTTGGACCTCCCGGGGCATAGGGCCAGAGGCCAAAGTCCAGGCCGGTCAAATGCATCGTGACCGAGACAGGGTGACTGCAGCCCACCCCTGCACTTGGTCTGTGTACCAGGGACAGCTGTCAGAAGCCCTCGTTGGCCCATGGACCGCGGTCCTCGGACCCATCAGCCCCAAGGAAGGCAGACTCGCGGCCAATCTACCCCATAGACAATGCTAGCCCTCAGTCAGGCTACTAAGGTCCTATGCAGGCTGGAAACAACTGCCAAAGGCCTGTATAATATCCCACCATTCCAGCTATCTCAACGAGTGGTTTCTTACTTGGTATGCACTCACAAATACTCGCTCTAGCAGGTGCTCGTCCTAGCATATCATCACTCTAGCATGCCCTCGCTCTAGCAGCTACTCCCTCGTGTCCTTTCAAGGCGGTATATACCTACCCACACCCACCTATCTAATTTCACGAGAGGTCTTGAGTTGAGCTACATGTGTCCTTAAAGAGATTCCTGGATATTCCCATGTGGGTCCGGCCTACGCCAGGCTCTCTACACCAGACATTGCGGTTTGCTTCGTGGCCTAGCTAGCAAGATATGTGGTTTCCTTTGGATTATGGCGGCTAGCCCGGTTAACCTTCCCGCCTGCCCCGCATATTCCCCTACAAAAGCAGAACTGGGGTAAGAGTAGCCCTGTACTAACCTTTTTAGATTGGTCCCTAGTACACTTTTGGTAGCAGGGTTCGCATTTAGATGTGTGGCTTAGTGACGTCATAGAACCTTCGAGAAGAAGTCGTTGAACGATAATGATAACTAATGTCATCACCTTTGAATCTCCGACGAGAGGGCTTTCAGACATCGCACGCCCAAGACACGTTATATTGCATAACCAAGACATGCTGGCTGCTTGGTTGTATAAAAATGATTTCACGATGGAGGCCGGTACCCTAACACTTGAGGAGGAGAACAGGGATGGTTGTTAGCGCAGCATTCAGGAGAGATTAGTAGTTTCAGTAATCAGAGATTAGGCCAGATGAACTGGAAAGAGGAGAGTCTGCTAAAGAAGCATTGGAAACTGACCTAAAACTGTAGCCGGAATGAGCCAAGTTCACCCTTCCGACAATCTGGTCGATCACCTCAGGACTTGGCACCCTCAAGGGCGTACTTGAAGGGTAAGACGGAAGACGGTTCAAGAGAATTGGCTCGGTGGTCTTCGTCTCCAGAAACATGGAAAACGCGGCGGCATCATTCTACAGTTTCCGCATCCCTACTCTAACATTCCTATCCACTACTTCTCTTTGAAATAGTATCAGCAAAAAGGATATATATACGTTTTTAAGAACGGAGCATGTGTGGCTTACCTGATGTCATACAGCATTCGAGAAGGAGTCTGACGAAGACGTTCACGAGAGAGAATATTCTATAAATAACTAGCAGTCTCTCGCCAAGCCTTTTCACCCTACTCTGAACCTTAGTTAACCTCCTTTTTATTTTAAATTTTGGGGTCGCTGCATCATTTTTTGCATTGTTTTGGATTACGGTATCGCTGTAGAATTATGCCCTGTATGTATTTAACCCGGGAGCCAGACGTTACCCTACCCTCGTTGGAAATTTCCAAGAAGACCGATACGTGATTTTCCCATTTCCTTTTGATACGTTTCCGATAAACTTACTCGTTACAAACTAACATGACGTCTACTATACATGTAGAGGGAGGCCGCTGAAATCGCTCGCCGACTGCACAGATGAGTGTTGCATAGCAATACATTTTTAAGACAGAAGAATCCTCGATATTCTGTCAACAGCGAATAACGAAACTGCAGTCATAAATCTCATATTTCGAAATCTTCTTTCAGTTAACCAAAACATTAAGGGTTATAGAACATTCAAAGGCTTTCTGTAGCAGATAAGTGTATTGAAAAATCTCCATCTTCATTGAATCTTGAAGCCAGCCCGAAACATGTCCAAATGGATGGATAGTCGACGTAGCTGCATCATGCCCGCCGATGATCAAGTATAGGCTCTCATATTGTCAAACGCTCCCGCGCCATGGAAGTCTTGATCGAATTCTTCGGCGCATTTCAGGGCTGTTTCAATATGTGTGACGGTTACCGCTCCTTCCTTGGCTAATGCGAATGCGGCGCGGGCAATGTTTTTGATCTAATATATCTGCCGTGTTAGTCGCCACACACGGAATTGGTATTGATTGCTTACCTGTCGCCCATTCGAGCTTTTATTGAGAAGCCTCTCCAACTCCTTTCTCGAAATTTTTGCACCCGCGTTGCTCAATTGCTTTTCCCACACCCGGGCTTTCGCATCCTTGCTTAGCGATTCATACTTGATGCCGACATGTATCCGACTTTTCATAGCCGGGTCTAGCGTGCTGTGTCGGTTGGTCGTAAGGAACATGATCCCTTCGAAATACTCGAGCGAGCGGAGAAACACGGAGACGAGAGCATTGTGCTGCAGACCTTGGAGGCTGCGCTCGCTCAGAAAGACATCAGCTTCATCCAGGAGCAATATCGCATCCCAGCGACGAACTAGATCAAGGACTCTAGACAGATGGCCTTCCAAGTCTTCCGTCTTGATTCCAAAATCGCCGGCACAGGCCTATTGAAGTTAGAGTGAGACCGCACAAGCGGGCTGGAGGACAAACCGAGTAGAGCGGCCTTCGGAGGAGGTCTGCGGTACTCTCCGCTGTTAAAGTTTTCCCAACCCCAGGAGGCCCGCTGTGAAAGCCAGCATTAACTAGGTAATCATTAACGCAACTTGGAGACAACTTACTACAGTAGGAATATTAGACCTTTCCCTTTTCCGACAACAATGTTGTCGAATGACGATTTCTCCGCCCGGGTCTGTGGCTCTCCACCATCGTCTTGACCATGTCTTTCTTTTCTTTGGGTATCTCAAGATAATCGAAGGACGACAGCTTGCTCTAGTCGATAGGACGGATATTCAAGACCAAGAATTCCGCTGCTCACATGTTAGCGCCGTTAAGATGTTAGGGCAACGTCAATTCTCACCCCACTCCCTCTTGCTAAGGTTAAAGCCCAGAACTGTTAGGCTATAGAGGATATACTCCCTGGCCGTCATGTTCTTCGAGTCCAGGTTTTAAGACTTCACCTTCTTCTAGTATTTCTCCCTTTTATACTTGCCGTCAGAAAAGGAGACAAACCTATCTAAGGACTCTTCCTTTACCCATAAGAATCTGTAGTTCGGATTCTTTTCCTTAAAGGCTAAGGCGTCAACCATTATACGGCCAGTCACGTGGAACTTGAACAGGCCTTTTAGTATTTTAAGGTAGGCAAAACCTTCATATTCGTTATATGTAACACCCTTAAGGCTCTTAAACTTGCGACCTCGCTCAGCTAGTTCCGCTTCGATTTCGGCTTTTTGGCGGTGATAATCTAGAGGGAATACCCCCAGGTCGGATATCCTTCTGGCTGATCGAAATTTTGGAACCTGGATCATCGTTGTCACTTCACCAAACACTTTTCCGTCGTAGTCAAGCGACCGACATTCGATCTCGAAGTAATCCCCTTAGTTGTCATTTATGAGCTCACCAGAGTCATAAACAAAATATCGGGGTTGCCCTAAACACTGGTCGATCATGAATATAAGCTCGTTCGGCTTGAACAATGCCCAGAGGAGCTCAAATGTGATCTCCTGATGGTCCAGCAGAGGATTTAAACGATCCTTCAACGGAGAGAAGTGTTGCTTCAGGAAGTCGACAAGTACGCCGTGGTGTTCCCGGGCAGTAAATTCGTCCCCAAGGCCCTTATACTGATCCTCGAATTCCGGTAGAAAATGGAAGAGAATGTCGGCTGGCACCTGCTACTGTCAGATCCATGCCGCTATAAAAATTATAAGGGTTGACGGCCTACCGTCGGCTTATCCTCCCGCAAATTGGCAGCCAATACACTGTGCATCACGCGGCGAAGAATACCCACGAGCTCAGACGATTTGAAGTCAAGATAGGTCTTGATCTCTCCGGTGATACGGTCTTTGGTAAAGTCAGCTTCTATGTTTGTCCCAATCAGATTTTCAGCGTACCGTGTCTACGTCGAACGACGAAGAGATATTGTTCATATTTGTCGCATGAGTCCGTTGGGATTTCCAGGCCCTCCGTGACCTCGTAAGCACACTGCTTCTTGTTCCAGCTTGAAAAGAGTCAGCTTGATCCCTCCTGAGGTCGGTGTGATCTTACATGTCGTTCACGGTCTTGTACTCTAGCTTCGACGCGAGCTTCGTTTCCTTAGCCAACTTGTGCTCGTCCGCCTGCGTGTCTGGCTCGGTGGTTGGGCTGGGGGTGGTCTGCGCAGTACCCGATGATTCCCTTGCTCGAAGGACCTCCACCAGAATCTCCTTGAGCTCTTCCCGGGTTACAAAGCTGGGAACGCAAGGAGTACTATAGTTGGGGGGTGGCGTCGAGGAGGGAGAGGAATGAGGGTGTTTGGGGAGATCCTGGGTTGGGTATCCCGAAGGTGTCATAGCTGGGGAAGAATGTGGGTGCTCCGGGGAAAATTGACCGGCTGACGTTGGTTTAGTGGAACAAAGGAACTTATTCATAACCATCGGTTCATCCTTCAGGGCACACTTGCTGTGCTCATGGCTGGGGCTGCTAGGAGGCGACGGCGGGGTGTCGGCGGGTTTGCCGGTGGGCTTCTTTGGTTGGGTCATAGTGACAAGAGAGAGTTCAAGGGGTGGACTGGAATATGGCAATGATTATATCTTGGTATTTCGAATCGATCTTGTTGAATAGTTGTCTCTGCCTTAGGAAGTAAGTGGCATCCTACTCCCTTTTATATTGCAGACAGGAATTCTCATTTCATACATCATGCAGGGCGATTGTCTTGAGCTGCATGTAAACCCTGAGTTTTCATATCTAGATGCAAACGGCAACGGGATACTCTAGCATACCTAGTAGCACGGTAGGCGGATATTTCCCCTGGCCAGGTACCTTTGACGGGTAAGTAGGCAAGGAATGGGTATGAGTTGACTTGTCTATCTAGTTCGAAACTTGTATCTTTGATTGGCTCCACAGGCGTTGCCCTTCCAGCGCTTTGAGCATTACGGTAAATCAGGGATAATTGGGAAGATCGAGAAAATTGGGCTAAAAATTGGTCTAAACCCAAATTCTCATTTGCCCTAAATTTTCCACCTCTGGGCACGTGCGTCCAGGCAACGTGACGTGTCTCTGATTGTGGCTATAAATACGAACATCTTTCTCTCATATAAACCATTTTTCTCAAATATATTAAACTTCCCAAATCGCTCAAAGCCCCAAAATAGTCAAATTATCGCATTGTCGAGTTATGACGTCAGTGCTAGAAGACAGTCTTATCAAGCCACTTGAGGAAGAAAGAGTGAAGTTCTATAGCCCCACTCACCAACCCACCACGCGTCAATGCAGCGATTGTCTTCCTTTGCAAAGCTCTATAGGGAAGATCTATCAGCTTCAGAGCTGCCAACCTCCACGCGGGGAAGAAAGGCGGTTACACAAGACACCCTCCGAAGACTAGCAAGATTGGGTTATTCTGTTCTGGTTTTATATTATTTTTGCAACACAGTCACGGAGTTAGCCAAGAAGAGTTACCTTGAGCTCACCCCGAAACTTTGAGATTGGTGATCTAGTGTCGATCACCCAAAAAGATTGGCAGTATATGCGGAGGCAATCTGTAAGGACGAGGGAATTGAATATACAGAGCCTCTCAACAACCAAGGTCCATGGAACAACCCACTTGCCATTCAAGATGCTCATACAGGACCAGTATCCCCTCCAACAGCGAATAATTTACAAAACCCTGATGAACCCCATCAAGCATCGGGGACCGCCGATTCCACAAGTAATATTTCTCGCAACAACCCACAACTTGAGCTGGCATCTAAAGCCTCATTAAACAATCTGAACTTCCCCCCAGCACCGGAACAGCGAGTATTCAAAAATGCTTTGTTGCAAGGGGTTGCGGAAGTTTTTAGTCAAGATATGCACTCTGCAATCAGAAGATTCACAGTCCAAGATGAATCGAAAGCTGCCGTAACAACGGTGTTCCCTATCTGGGCAGGAACAATTGATTGTCTTATGAGCCTAGAAGTCAACAAATGGAGTGTGGAATGGCTAGTGATGGCTCTCTTTAATGCAAAATTGAAATGGGTAAATCAAGCTCGGCACGTTGTCTTTAACAAAGATGTCACTCTCATCATCCCTAATTCCGAAGCTACTCTAAAGGGCGTCCTCAATGAAGCCATCCTTAATGTATTTGGCCCTGAGATACATGAAGCGGTCACCGAAAGCCTGATGCGCAGAAAGGAACTAGCGGAGGGGATGCGTGTAACAGAGTGTGTGTCAATGATACTCACAAGGGATAGGGCTATTATCAACTTAGCTCTTGGCTTAAACGGAGGCGTTAAAATATAAAACAAGTTATATACCTAGTATAGAACCTTTGTATGCCTTTCTATCCTTCCTTCACTTTTCCGTCTATGATGTACAACTTAATACTAGATTCAACCCGGCCCTGCCCGTTAGGTATGTCAACTAGCTTCCTAAACCTCTCCGTCCCTTCGCTGTCCTTCTCAAGGACAGTCACATTACACCCTTTCCAGTATACCATCTGCCCTCTGCCTGGGATCATTTTAATGTGGTTCTCCTCGACATTTTTAAAGTTTATGTTCAAATCAAGGACTTTCTCTTCGAAAGCCTAATAGGATATTAGAAAGGAATACTCATGGCTAAAGGGACTTACCATTAAAGGCTCCCCTTTACTACACCACTGTAGTTTATAGAGATAGATACTATCTAAATGTTTAATCAACTACTATGCTCAGGCGTAATATCCAAATATCGAGTAAGACGGTAAAGAACAAGAAAGATGGCGGCTAAAGATGTTTAATACTATCTCTTTTGTGGGCCAAATCCTATTCTTTATCTTTCAGCGAGGTCAAGAAAGCCGCGGACCTGATCAGGCTAGATAGAGTACAGGAATAAATAGTTGTTTAAATAGTTTGATGTAGAATAGGGCATTTGGTATAGAAATTTCTAATATTGATCAAATAATAAAAGACTTTAGAGCAAGCAATAGAAAATAATTAAGGAATGTTATTATACACTTATATATCAGTCTAAGTGTCAACTTTTATCGGAAGATAAGGTGGGGTAACGCTATATATGGTCATATTAGCATGGTTTCTTCCCAACTCGGTTAAAAGATAGTCCGACCAAACATTAGGCGCTAATGCGCTGGGCAGACATCAACTACTTAGAGGCCCAAAGAAAAGTGAAGGCAATCGCAGTGCTATGGACGCAGATACCGCCGTCTAAGAGTGGTTTTAATGGGATATGTGGGACAGAGAAGAAGATTGAAATATTTTTGGACGCTTCCTGAAGCCAGATAGCTTCGTTATCTGCACCTGCTTGATTAACAGTTCAAGGCTGCGAGGCTTGGTCTTTTTCCACAAAAAGATGAGCAAAATATGAAAACCACTTCAGAAAATCACGTGCAAACTAGGCAACCACTCCTCTCTTAATAATATATCTCCCATAAATTCTTACTTGTAATCTCATCTTTACCCAATAATGAACCTTCTTCTCCCCCAAATAACCCCTGCGAGCTACTTCTCTTGTTGTGGGGCCACAGACTCATATCCAACAGGAGCACGGGCCAAAGGGTGACATGAAACAGACACGGCTGTTTCCGTCATGCAAAGGCCAAAGCTACGCGCCCAATTTTTTGGTATATGAATTGCCGTTCTCACTTCATATTTTGGAACCAAAACACCTACAGTCTCTGTGCCATATGCCTTACCCAAACGCCTTGAGATCATCTCGCAAACGACAAGAGCCTGGGGAATATCTTGACGGACATATATTGAAAAGGCTGAAGCTAGGCTAGCCAACTTCAGCATATTGGGATAATTTGTCGAAGATTTGGTTAACGAGGGACGCTCTCAAGGAGTTAAATCGACGAAACAGGGCTTCTAGCAGTGCACCAGAGTCAACATTTACCCCCCACCAGCCGCTCACTTGACAGTTACACGCGAGTCTTAAGCGTCATTACCAGACACTTGCCCCCGACCCCCTAATCAACTACAGGCCTAAGAGCCTGAGTAAGATCAAAAGGCTCTCCAGACAGGGCGGGCCTGACCTATCTGACCTTCAGAATATATATAATTCATGCGACATAGTGGTTCTATGCTAACACCTTAGCTCAGTTCCCAGATCCTCATATTTCCTTTCATTAACCAATAAGTACAAACACTTCATGTTCACGTAGCCGGAAGCGACGTGCAGGGTCTCATACAGACAATAGCAACAATAAGACCACGAAGACTACAAGCACTACCGCCTATAACCGGAACTTTGAGCAGAATATGGTTGACCATGGCGTTTACCCTGATGGATACGAGTACCCTGACGGCCGATTGCCCGCAATGCCAAACAACTGGGACGAGATAAATCAAAAACTAGCCCAGCCGCGACCTTCTCTTTCACCGTCAAAGTTTTCTGAAAGCGAGTTCCGACAATTCAAAAGAGCAGACACAACCGCTTCCAAAGAGAAGTCAGTGGCAACTTCTGTTGTGCCGGCTATTGATGGCGATATTGGTGACCCCAAATGCGTTGGAGGGGACTACCCATTCGGTAACCTTGCTTCTCTAACAGATGGCACTCTGGCAAATGCAAAACCAGATCATTTCTTTGGTGCTCGCCCTGAGCAGCTTAAACCCAAAATCCGCAATAAACTTAATAATTTTATCATTCTATTAACGCAAGACTCCCTTCCGATAACTTTAAACTTCTTTCTAGAGGCGAAGGGCCCTAACGGATCACCTGCTGTGGCCACGAGGCAAGCTTGTTATAATGGTGCACTGGGGGCTCGAGGAATACATAAACTTCAGTCGTACAAGCAGGATGAGCCTGTCTTTGATAATAAGGCCTACACGATAACGTCAACTTACCTTGCCGGCACACTCAAGCTCTACACAACACATCCCACCGCCCCTCGAGAAAGCGATGGGCGTCCTGAATATATCATGAGTCAACTCAAAGGTTGGTCAATGACTAGCGATTCTGAAACGTTTCAGAAAGGAGCAACTGCGTATAGAAATACACGGGATTGGGCTAAAGAACAGAGGGATGGGTTTATTAAATCTGCAAACGAGAGACACACGCAAGCTCCATCTGAACTTCTCTCATCTGAACGTGAGCCAACTTCTGAGCCAACAGTCGTCTTGGAGGACTCCGATACATCAGCTACGTGTGATGAAGCCGAATCTCACGATGCTGAGTGGAGTTTTACCCATCCAAATGACGGCATTGAGGATCTGGCTTCGAACAAACATACAAGAGCCGAGCCAACCAGTAGTAATAGCCGCAAGTCTCTCCAAAATTAAGTTATTTGCCATTTGCATATATCGCCATAGCACGTAGAAGTGATAATTTATTTTCTCTTCGCCTTGCAGGTCCTAGTCGTGGATGGACCGCCAAGCCGCAATTTCATTGGAAAGCTTGAAGAGCACAATGGAAATATATTGTTCCGTGGTATTGTTAGGAAGACATTTAGAAAGTGCACTTCTGCCTCCTCATGCCTGGCTAAAAATAGCTCAAACTGGGCGCTTAGGACGAAAGTTCCTAGTCTAACAACAATTTTTGAACCACGGTCGCCGATTTTAATACATTTTCGGGGCAAGCTAGCCAGTGCTACCTGGACCCCGATTGGATGGATATACCGGCGCTATGAGTCATTGGAATCGCCAGAAAGTGTGTGGCCTTCACAAAATATGCGAGGCAGAGCAACGTGCGAAGGATATGAGCGTTTCTTCACGCCGACAGCTGGAAGCGAGACATGAAAGACTTGATTGAATGAAAGCTAAGCCCTCCTTACGCCTGAGTGTTGTATAGCAATACATTTTAAGACATGAGAATCCTCGATGTTCCGTCAATGAATAACCAAACTGCAGCCATGTATCTCATATTTCAAACTCTTCTCTCAGTTAATCAAAACATCATGCGCAATACATATGACGCTCTTATCGCCGTTCTCTACTGTCGCCACACTTCTCTTCGACCCCACGAACAAGCCGTTTAACACACCATCTGTCCTTTTGCGATACAGTTCCCCATCATCACCAACCAAGACTAACTCATCTAGGCTTTCATCCCATCCAATCTCCCCATTACCAAACCATACTCCGCCCTCAAGGAAAAAGAACCCATACCCGAAATTGTAGTGTCCATGTTCCAAATTTGCAGCCTCCAATATGAAATCCAAAACTAGTTGAAATGCGTAGTTACCGTATACTTCGAATACTCGGTTTGGCCTATCCGCTTCTGCTCTAACCCAACTGAAAGCTTGGTCAATGACTAGTGATTTAGAAATATTTTAAGGACGACGGGAAATAGACCCACACTAACTAGCCTTTTCAGGTTGGTCCCTGACAAGCCTTGGCGGCGGAAAGTAGGGGCCACATTTAAATACGTGGTCTAGTGACATCATAGAACATTCGAAAATTGTCTGCAAAACGCCTTTCTTCTCTGAAAAGACTTGCAGCCCCAGGCTTAAAACGTAAACTAACCATAAGGTAAAGCGTCAAATGAGGAAATAAATACAAGTGAAAAGCTACGTTCATACAATCTCCATACATATCCCCCGAGCTATGAGTCATATCCAGCAATTCCACATGCGGTGATTGGATGCTCTTTGTGATGGTACGAGTTCCAAGGCGCACGGATTGGTTAAAAACTGTTGCCTAAACTCTAAAGCAGGATTCAAGGATGCAAGCTTTCCTCCATGCGACTTTTACCTTGGATCAACGCATGTACAGAGTATGTACGTCAGGCACTCTTCTCGGATTTCCACAGCAGCCAAAGTCGCCAAACGCAGCTATAGATTGCTAGTTAGCTTCGGTAGGGGAGATATTATCGGTGCTGCACTTTCTTCCTGGATAGGAGAGTTTGTAAGTTTATTCACGAAGTCGTCGTTTTTATGATTCGGATCGCCGTGTCCGGAAGACATAGCCGAGGAGGAGTGGGATTTAGGCATGATAAAATGTAATTAGGTGTTATATCAGGGGATTAAGACGGATCCTCAAAATTTTTTGTCTCTACATCGAGATCGGTCATATCTTGCTCTCTTTTATACATGCTCAACTTTGGGCCATCTCATGTTATACTAGAGCGGCATAAGAAGGCAACCGATATTCTTGCTGCGGCGTATTGTGGTAGGGATGTTGTGGAAGCAACCGGGATATGCATTAAACCCGCTCTCTGGAGTGGAGGAAGAAATTACAAAAGGAGCGGAAAGGTTTCGTCAAATAAAACACCCGCTGTAGCCAAGTACAAGCCTCAAACTGGTTGCATCATCGATTTAGCCATTTGAAGCTTCGCATTTGATACAATGCCCTTTTCAACCAATTTAGTGATAACCCGCACGGTCCAGCCTTGGCAGTTCTCCTTGACAGATTGCCGATTAGGTGCTCGAGGAGGGATTTCGTTATCTGCGACCTCTTTCACCACCGCAGCCTGCTGCTCTGTCACGACGGCCAATTGGTACATAGTCAAGAAAGATGCAGAATTAGTTATGTCGACTGAGCGGTTCGGAGTCTGGTACGTCATGTATTCTGCATCTCCTTTGACCTGATATACCATGCCCGGCTGATTTTCGCGGGCGACAAGGAGAGCCCAATGTAAAGGTTCGCCCGGGCCCTGTTTTTGATGAACGAGCGAAAGATCAAGAGCCTGAGACTGGGCCTGACCGGCTGGTGGTGAGGTATTTTCGGGTTGGTATTCAAACCATTGCTGAGTACCCGTCTTCCTAGAGAAGTATCGACCATTGACCTCGCATATCTCTCTCAGACCAATTGCCTTGACGGGAGTACTGGAAGTTGGATAGTCGCTCATTTCCTGCTTTACACTTAGTAGGATGGAATATATAGGTGCTGTATTGCCCACTCACGATTGCTATTTGTGGATCCTTGAGTCTTTAGTTTTTCGGTCAGGCTTTGCTTGACTCTGGTACTTTTTGGTGCAGCCATCGCATCCGTTTATAACCCCTCTCTCAAGGCCCGTGCGTCCATTGATGCCTAAAAATGACAAAACAAAATTCCGGATCCGCATATGTACTTCTAGAACCGCTCGAATTATAGGCCTAAAATCAATGGACAGACAAATGATGTTGCCTACAATCATAATTTGGAACCAATCACTTCGTCCAGCATTGAAGAGATGAGCACAGAATAAACCAAGAAGTCGAGGAAGATGTTTGGTCTTGAACCATCCAAACTTGGAGTCAAAGGAGCCTAAGGATACGCTAGCCTCCTACCGTTAGGCTCTCACCGTACGGGAGCGGAACAGGTTTGCTCCGGGCCAATTCTCTTTTGTCTTATCTTTAGACCCAACCCATCGATGTGGCTTCATCTTTATCAGCCGCCTTGTCATATATTGGTGGCGGCAAATAACTTGACATGCATCTGAGCGAAGCAGGCTGCTAACTGTCCTTCAGCTTCTTAAAACCCTTCGCACAATGGCAAACTCTTCCGCTGGCATTCCTTTCCAAACCCGAGATATGCGAGAGGGTACCCATTATATCAAAATCGGCAAAGCGTTGTTCCCCTGTTCAACAGCCCCAAATCCATCAAGTCTTCCTCCGGATCAGGAAGTAATCACCGTCCTTAGCAAACAGATGGGCCGGACAGTCCTTGAGCATGATTTTTCGTACGTGTCCAAGTCCGGGCACGGCGTGCGGCAAGCTGAGCCTGAAGCGATGAGGATGGTATACAAGTACACTTCGGTTCCTGTGCCTGAGGTCCTTTTCACGCAATTCGGCCCTGATTATGGGAGAATCGGGATGGCCCTTGTTCGAGGGGTTTCCCTGGAAAAGAGGTGGAACACACTGAACGAACAGAGCAAAAGGTCCGTTTGCCTTCAAGTCTGGAATATGATCTCTCAGATACGAGCTATCCCTCGTCCTCCAGAACTTGATGGTCTATTTCAGTGCGCCGCCGACGGCTCCCTTACAAAGGATCCATTGCTTGAAGACCTGGGGGACCCCGCTCGACCCCTGACAAGTGATACAGATCTGCGCACCCGCATCTTCGGACGCTATTTACATTTCGGAGGCCGTCGATACGAACATCAGTTACCTGATATGTTGCCACGATCCGACTGCTCAGTTTTCACGCATGGTGATATAGCGCCTCGCAATATTATGATCGACGAGCGAAACAACATAACGGGAATACTGGACTGGGAATACGCAGGATGGTATCCAGATTATTGGGAATATGCACAGATTTTGAGACCTGCTTTTTGGAGCGACTGGTCAGCGTGGATGGATCTGACTGCGCCGCAGAAGTGGGACCTTAGTGGTATTAATGCCGCTAGGAAGGTTTTGTTCTAATAAACATGGGGGTAGCAGAAAGCACCCATAGCAATTTTTTTTCATTGCTTACATGAGCATCAGCCCATCTGCATATGGCCTCCACAAAGTCGAGTTCGATCACTCCCCAGGGTGTCTGCCAAATTCTTTTCTCCATCCATAAACTACTGTATCAACGCTGAACGAATAGAAAATTCTATAGCTCTCTATCTACGGAACCTATGGAGGAGATTCACAGTACGAAGAAGCGGGACACGTGAATTCGACGATATCCTTCGAACACAAGACGATCTCGAAATGGAGGATATAAAGGTTATCAATAGGGGTAGCAGCTTTGAAGGTCTCAGCGGGTTCTGGGCCAGGTCTTAAGCGTGGCTGTAAGGGGTAGGCTGTGGGGCCGGAAGGTCTTGGCAGCCCGTTCTTTAACCGCCGAGGGACCCACCGTGGAAGGCACGCGAGTTGGAGACATGCAGCCTGCAAAACAGGCCGCGAAAAGTAGGCAAACGACGCCTTCAAATATTGCACTGTTTACGTATGGATACATCAGGAAGGCCGCTTACGTTTTCTCTCCCTGTCCCTGACCTGCTTCCTCCCCTTCTCCTGTTGCTTTTGGAAGATGCGATACCTCTGCTGCACAGACGACAGGGTCCTCGAGGGGAAAAGCTCCTCGACATCGTCCTCCGTCGGGGGGCCATCCTTCCGCACCAGGGACAAGAGTAGCTCATTCTCCCTCTTGGACCATCGGCCCCTCTTCCCCCTGTGTTCGGCCGCACATCTGGTGTACCCAATGCCACCAGCACCCGCAGTGCCGTCGTTGCCCTGAGCGGAAGGTGGAGCGGAGAGCAGCTTCACTATGCACGTGGCGACCGTCGAGGCGAACGTGTACATGTCACCCTGCGGCAGTGCGCGGTGGACTGACGGCCTCGGTGCGGCATCGGGGGCGGTGCAGGCCGGCGCGTGGGTCCTCTGCCGTTTGAGAGATCCACCCGCTGGCCGGCAGTCGTCTTCGCTCACTTCACCATCTTGATCGCCTTTGTCATCTGTGTAGTCGTCGTCTTCGTCTGCTTCGTCTTCTCCGCCGCTGGCGTCGCTTGGGGCGCAATCACCCCTCAATTCTCGGCCCCGTCGTGCCGGATCACTCCGCGGCTTGGTGGCTTGCCGTCGGGCACGCGGCGACCCGGACGCGCCCTCGGTGAAGAGTTCGCGTGTCAGAGGGACCTCCACCACCACACGGGGAAACGATGGCTTCCGCGGCGGGGGAGGGGGAACAGGAGACGGCTCCGGCTCCGGCTTGATGAAACAGTCGTTGTAACCGTCATCCAGCATAGGAGAGGGAGTCCGGAGCACGTCGACACGCTCGCCAGGCGGCATGGCCACGATGGACGTCGCCCTACTCCCTCCTCCCTCCTCTCTATCCAGATCATCAATCACGATGGGATCCTCTGCGGATTCACAGGGCGTTAGGGCGTGAACCTTTCAGCACGAGGGGGTGTGAATAGACGAACGAACCTGGATAATTGCCGGTTTCTCTCCTGTCCGATCCGGCCGCGGTTAAAGGTGATGTGGGCGTGCTTGGGCATCCGGACCCGCACGAAACGTTACTTGACGTTCCATCAAGGGTCGGGGCCATAGGTGACTCGGGGATGACGGGGCTCTCCACGTCTCTCGCGTTGGCGGCAGGCGAAGCGTCTAATTTCCCATCAGCCACCCGAAGTTGAACTGTTAGGAGATGGAACCTACCTAGACGCGAAGCCTTGTCTGACCCGTCACTTGGCCCGGCGGATGGCTCCCGCTCGGCAGGAGCCTCCGCGAGGGAATCAAACCCCGTCAGGTCGAGAGATTCAATCTCAGAGCCTGCGGCCAAGGCGAGGTCGAAGGGGTTCTGGGGCATCTCTGGCTGCTGTGGACGGCCCTGTCCAGCCGTGGAGGCGGATGGGGCATGAGTTAAAGGGGAAGCCGCCACCACTCCAGGGCGAGGGGGCAAGGGGTACTAGAGATTAGGAGGAGGGGGTAAAGGTGTCTACAAAGGCGCCGAGGGCGCGGGAGGGGTGGGAAGGGGAAATACAAGCGCGGGTTTTCGACGGCTGGGAGGGATAAAGGGCATAGAGGGTGTGTAGATGGCCATATTGTTGTCAAGGTTGATCGCGGGAACCATGGCTGCCAACTCTAGAGGTGAGGCGTGCTATATTTTGTGATCTGTGTCTCTAGCTGGGCTAGAAAAGGGGAGATTATGGGCGATAATGGTGCTTGCTGAGTGCTGCTGGCTCGTGGGATCCGTGAAAGCTCGCGGGACGCAGCGGCCCTTTATAGACAAGGCCGCGAGGGAGCTCGACGCCTTGCCAGGCGCATAGACGAGGCACGGAGGCTGGGTGAACGGGAGAGGGATACAACCCGCACACACACACACACACACACGCTCCCTCTCTCCCCCCCCCGGCGGGCACGAATCCTGGTCGCCACAGCTCACTACCCTCTCGCCCGCCTGCATTCTGCGGCCTGCATCTGCACATCAGCCCGAGGCGTACGAGTGTCGCGATGCAAACCAACCAGCGTTGAGAGCTGGAAGCTGACGTCGGCCTCGCGTAGTGTTGCCTAGCCATCCGGCCCCAAATCACCCCCTGATCGACTTCAGCTCGAAATGGAGAGGGGAGGAGCCGGCCAGACAAGCCACATCCGTAATATTCTCGCATGCACATGCAATCCACCGCCTCTGTGACATCCACTCACCCCCGGACCATCCATCGATCTCCGGGCCAGCGAGGCCAATCCCACCGTGATTCTGAGTTCCAGCCCCTACCCCAAAGGGAGCTCCACGGCAAGGGATTCAGAAGTCAAGAATGCAACGCGCGAGGATCGGATGCCCACCGGCTGGGCAGCAGCCGCTGGGGATGACTGAACGAGCCTGAATGCTCTTACGAAACTGTTCAGGGAGGGCCTCCTCCACGTCAACGGATTCAGGACTCAGATTGCAACGCCGTGAAAATCGAAATTGCCTTCGTCACCTCCCTCGGGCTATTTGCTGCGTGAACGCCACCGCGACCTGCAGGATCACAATCCTGGAAGCCGGAAAACCCCGGCTGCTGACGACGAAGCGGACAATGCAGTCAATGCGCCGTAAGGCGGGCTAAGAATCCACCGTCTCGCGTCCGGGTTTCACCGAGATTGAGGCATTTTTGCCATTGGCAGAGCGACGTGGCACGCGTAGCACACTGGAGGTTGGAAATCGACGGGAGGCGAGGAAGGCCCGGCCACGGAAAAGAGGGGGAAGGGGGGAAGCCACGGCGACGATTGCAAGGGCAAACGCAGTCAGGATATCAAATCCCTTTGGGAGAATACCGGATAGCGGGTGGTGGCTATGTGGAGGGAGAGAGGCCGTGGGTATGTCGGCCGTCGAGCCCTCGCGATAGAGGCCATCCAGCCAGCACTGCAGGAAACGGAGAGAGGAGGGAGAGGGAGGGGAGCCCAAGGCCACGGCACACCGGGGGACCTCAATGTATACGAGAGCTAGACAATGCAGGGGCCGCAGGCGAGGCGAGGCGCGAGACGGGATGGAGGTGGGCGAGAGGCACGGCAGATATGCGAGCGTGGAGGAGGGAAAGGGGAAGAGGAAGTGCGTGTGCGATGGAGGGAGGTCGACGGGATTTATATAGATGTGAGGTGACGCGATGCCAGTTCGATGAGGTCAAGGCAGCGGTGCGCCAAACCGCTTACGGACACGCTAAACCCGAAGGGGCGAGGGCTAACCGGAAGCGGAGGACGCTAGGCCAGGGGAGGGAAAGCGCGGACTCGGCGGGCTCCACTTGCCATTGTTTCGTTTACCTAATATACTATTATTCTAGTTTTAAATAAGTATATTATTCCTTAATATAATTTTAAGTATTTTAAATATAGCGCTAAGATAAATCTATATTATATAAAATAAATATAGAATATAAACTATTTTTAATTAATATAATAAATATAGTAACTATAATAAAATATTAATTAAACTTAAAGTAGTATTTAGAGTAGTATAAAGAGCTTTATTATTTAAAGTATTATTTATTATTAAAGAATAGATATAGTTTTAGATATTATATTCTATTAAAATATTAAGAATAATATATTTAAAATATATATTAGTATATTCCTCTATTAAAGGAGGAAAAGTTAAAAGAACTTTTTAGTATATTTAATTAGTATCTATAAAGTATATTATAATTACTATAAATAACTAGCGAAAAGAGCTTATTTAATAATTATATAATATAGATATTTTAGTATATATAAAGAGGCTATTAAAATATTTATTTATAATTTTTAATATTAATTTTTCTTAATATATATATAATTATCTTATAGTTAAAAATTACTATATTTAGTTATAGTATCTAAATAAGTTAATAAAAGAATAGATTTTTAATAATATATAAAGGAAGTTAAATAATATAGAGAAATTTAATAACCAAGTCTTAAAAAGCGTTATTAGAGTATAGAATAATTTTATAAATAAAATTTATAATTTATTATATTATTAGTTCTAATATAGCCTATAAATAAAAAGAGTAATATAGAAAAATATAAATCTTATTACTTTTAACTAAGTAGATTTCTTTTTAATTATTTAAATAGTAAGTTCTTATAATTATAATATAATAAATACTCCTTTATCTATAAATAGTGTATTATAGAATTTATTAAGCTATTAAATTATAAAGAGTATTTATATACTATATTATATTAAGTATAAATAATTTATAGTATTTTATCTTTTACTTTAGCTATCTATATAAAGTATTTCTATACTAGTATATAATAGGATTTTAAAGATTAAATCATTACTAAATTAGTAATATTTTTAAAAAAAGGAGTTTTAGTCTACTAATCTATAAATATTATAGCTAGTAGATTATTCTTTTTAAATAGATAATAGATATATTTATTTTAATAATTAAGACGTTAAAGTTAAATAGAGACTTAGAAGGACTAAACCTAAAATAATAATATTAATCTATTTATAGTATTAAATATTAGGCTATTTTCTTATAAAAGGGCGGGCTATATCTTAAAATTAGAATTTATAACTAAAAAAGCTATAGTAAAAATAGATTTAAATATTATATAAAGAATAGTAGAAAAAATAGTAATTTAAATATTCTAAAGATATATAAATATTAAATAGGGAAATAATATTTATATATATACTTTATAATATAATCTATTATAACTATAGAATAGGCTATCTAATAAAATAGTAAACTACTTTTTTATAAAACTTAGACTATATAATATTTAGTTTAATATTAAGATTTAAATATATATACTATAACTATTTTATATTTATTATTATCTTTAAATATATTATATTTTATTTCTATATTTATATGCTATAATTCTATTATTATCTTTAGATAATATAATATTCTAAATAGGACTAGTACTATATTAATAGACTAGTATATTAAACTAACTAAAATAGAACTAATATATATTCTATTTAATTTTAAGTTCTTTTAATCTCTTTTTACTTTTAATCTTTTCTTTTTTTTTATAATATTTAAGAGCCTCTATTAATATACTATTAATATACTTTTATTACTCCTTTTATTCTTACTATCTTACTAAGTAACTACTAGTTATTAATACTATATAGTAAGTTAATATATTTACTATTCTATAATAAGATTTTAATTTAGACTAGAATCGACTATAGAAATAGACTAGATTTATATTTTAGTATATTAGAGCTATAAAAACTTATTAATATATAATTAATACTTTATCTAAAGATAATATCTAAACTAAAATAGAGTATAGATTTAAAGAGGCTATAGCTAAAAGTAAAGTAATCTATAATAATAACTTTAAGAAAATATATATTAAAAATTTAAAAAGGATCTATATAGTTAAATTTACCTTAAAAGAAAATAAATTCTATAAAGAGTGAAGCTATATAGCTAGATATTTAAAGAACTATCTAGATATAAAAATATTATAAGAAATTATTAAATAATATAAACTAATCTTTAACTAATTTAATACTCTTTTTAACTAGAAATGGATATTAATAAACTATAGTAATAAACTATAGAATTTTAATATTAATATCTACTTTCTATCTATTTATATTATCTCTTAATATATTAATAGTCTATTAGGAAATTTTCTAATAGTATAGCTTATAAATAAAGTAAATATATATATACTAATTATAGAAATAAAGTAAGTTATAGAAACTCTAATAGAGTAGAAAACTATTAATATTTAGATAATTATTACTATTTATAATATACTAATTAAGGTAATTTAGTTTATCCTTAAATATTTTACTTTACCCTTTTAATTTAATCTAAATAAAAATTAACTAGCGCTAAATATAAAAAATTTATATAAAGTATATATACTTTATTAAGTTTTAAAATATATATTTATTTTAAAATTATTATCTATATTAAAAAGTATTAAGGTATAAAATAATCTAGTGCGAATCCTTAACTATCTTAATAATATTACCCTTAGTAAGATAATAGAGGTCTAAATATTATCTAAGAATAATATCTAGAATATTAACTATATTAACTTTAATATAATATTAAATATAGATGTTTTAAATAATAATAAAGATAATAATACTAAGTTTAATATTAATCATAAGTTAGACCCTATAAATAATAAAAATATAATTAATTTTAGTAAATATTACTTAGATTTACTTCTAGAGCTAACTAAATATAAAATAACTTTACTAGTTACCTATACTAAAAAGTTAAATAGATATATGTAAAATAGCTAGCAAGAATATATAATAGATATACTATTATAATCTATAGTAGTCTCTAATAAAATAAACTATATTATTTAAGAGATTAAAAGATAAATAAGAGATAATAAAGCTATTTATTTTATAATAGA